ATTTTAGTCAAAATCTTGTACATTTGCAAATTGTGTAAAAGTTGTTGAAAGTTAATTTTATGCCTAGTCAAACTCTTTTCTGGTTTTGGTTTGTGTGATCACTGATTACTGGAGCTTTATTCTCAAACAGTATGTTTTGCAGATATAGGGATCATTTAGTTGAATTTTTTGCTGTGTGAGTCTTTGTTGAATTTAGCTCTTTTAAAAATTGCCAAGTTTTTATTATGTAATATTTTAATTGCAATTCCTATAACTAACATGTTAATTTTTTATATAATATAATGAGTAACAATAAATCAAAAGCTTCATGGGATCGAAAAAAATTAGAATATTTATTGACATTTGTTTGGACCAAGCTCGAAAATCACAAAGAAATGGTGGTAGTTTTACCAAAGCAAGATGGCTTAGCATAATTTCTACATTTAATGAGAGGATTGGATAGAAATATGACAGACAACAATTCAAGAATAAGTGGGATAACATGAGAAAAGAGTGGGTACTGTAGGATAAGTTGGTTTCAAGTGAGACAGGATTGGGTTAGGATTATGCAAACAATACTGTGGATGCTTCAGATGATTTGTGAGAGAATAAAATATTAGTATGATGTTATTGTATGAGGCTTTATATTTATTTTATTTATTTGTGTATTCTGTAATATTATTGGTAATTTATGTACAGGAAAATTTATTATATGAGAAATTCAGACATAAAGGATTACCATTTATCAATAAATTAACCAAGTTGTTCTAATGTACTATCGCCAATGGACCTAGAACATGGGCACCTTCAAGTGAAGTTTTGCCTAACATTTACATACAATAGGAATGAAGGCGAGGATGAAGAGGTGTATCGGCCAGATATGGCAAATGAGTGTATTGATTTGGAGGAAGGTTTAGGAGTTAGTGATGAGATCTTAAGAACTACTGGAGTAAGCGGTGAATTTAATAAAATAGTTCTAAATGCTTCTCAAAGAACCTTAACTGGAGGCAATGCTAAGAGGAAGAGGGGTGAAAGTAATAACAATAGAAAGAAGAATAAGTTACCTAGTACAAGTCAAATAGCAGATGCAATAAGTATGATAGCTCAGACAACAAAGGAAGAATCTCAACAGGCCAAGGAAACATCAATTCCTGAAGTTATGTCTATAGTCAAACAATGGGGAGAAGTTGCAATTGACGAACATTAGGTTTCACGATGCATGTCACTCTTCATGTCTCGAGAGGTTAGGGTGATGTTTTTGACAATAAAGGATGACGAAGAAAGTGTTTTGGAGTAGTTGATGTAACAGCCCTCTGGGTCACCCCGCCTCCCCGAGGTCTTTTCCCAGTGCTGGACACTTTCCCCCCAGACCCCACAACAAGGGCGACCCCACCCCTTTACTCAATGGTATCAGGTTCAGCCTCAACTTTGTTATGTAGGAGAGGTTGGTGGATCGAACCTGGGGAGGCTCTCCGCAAGGGGAATAATCTTGCACACTACTACGGGGAAGCCTTTGTCTCCTGATGCTCACCGAAAAGGGTGGGGTCGCCCTTGTTGTGGAGTTTGGGGGGAAAGTGTCCAGCGCTAAAAAAAGACCTCAGAGAGGCGGGGTGACCCAAAGGGCTGTTACAGTTGAGATATGAATGTTACAAAAATGATTGATTATTAGAGTTTTAAAACTTGTTATGAGCATGTGATCTTACTTAAAGAGTAGTCTAACATGTTTGTATTATATTATTGAATTTGACTTATGTAACCTCCTGAACTACTTATGTACTTTTTATATATGATAGTCAAGTATTACAATGTTGTGGAAAAGTTACTGGTATTTCTACAGATGACTTATTTAGATATATCTATAATTGAAATTAAGTGCACGTATTATTTATGAGTTTGGCTACAAGTAGCAGGACATATGGAAGAGTCATCCTAAAAAAGGCTAAAGAGAGCACAAAAAGCTAGTGCTCTTATTGGGTTGTATGCAACAAAATATTTGTGCAAAGAGCCATGAAGAAATAGTGAATATACAGGTCATTTGTGGGTGAAATTTTAGAGGGACACCCAATTTGTTGCTATGAAATGTTTAGAATGGAACCCATGTGTTTCATCAATTATGCAGTGAATTGACATAACATGGATTGAACGATACTAGGCGAATGAGAGTACAGGAGATGATTGCAATTTTTTTAAATACAATTGGACATAGGTTGGGAAATAGGATGGCACAAAAAAGATTTCAACATTCAGGAGAGACTATTCACAGACATTTTTATGAAGTTTTAATGGCTTGCTCGAAACTTGCAATGGAATATATCAAACCACAAGACAGGTCCTTTCATCATGTATCAAACAAAATAGAAAATAATAAGCGATATTGGCCATTCTTTAAAAATACCATTGGAGCAATTGATGGCACACATATTCCATGTGTAGTCCCTGCTAGTGAAAAATCAAAATATATTGGAAGAAAAGGAATCCCTATGCAAAATGTAATGGCTGTGTGTGATTGGGACATGTGCTTTACTTTTGTCTTGATTGGATGGGAGGGTACTGCACATAATGCTCGTATTTTTCAACATACCCTGACAACTCGATCCATGAACTTTCCACATCCGCCTTCAGGTATATTTGTTTGTTTAATTTATTGTGTTAGATTTTTTAACTTACAGGCATTAATAGTAATATTTTTTTACAAGGTAAATATTATTTGGTGGATGCTGGATATCCAACACCAAATGGATATCTTGATCTATATAGACGGGAACACTACCATCTTCCTAATTTTAAAAGATCGACTGGATTTGCAAATAATAATGAGGTCTTTAATTATTTTCATTCAAGTTTTCGGTGCACAACATAAAGAACATTTGGAGTTTGGAAGAATAGGTTTGTAATTCTACGAAACATGCCTAGCTATGATGACGACATACAAGTTCAAATTATTGTTGCATCAATGGCGATACATAATTTCATTAGAAGACACTCTTAACTCTGATGCTGGTTTTATGCGTCATGAGAGGAAAGATCAGGAAGACCATGAGGATCAAGAAGACCATGATGTTGATGAATATTCATCCGTGACATCTTCTTCACCAGCTATGACTCGTATTCGTGATATTATTAAGGACCAACTTGTATATTATCATTTTCATTAGTTATTGCAAAATTACTATTTTATTTAAGAATTTAATTTTCTTGTCTTTTATTGAATTTATTTTAAGTAAGATATATTTAGTTATTTATTTACATAAATTTAAATGTTAATATTAATATAATTTAAATTTTTAATTAATTATATATGTAGTTTAAATAATATATTTTACTTCTTAAATAAAATGTAACAACTTTAATACTATTAGATATAAATTTATCAATAATTTAATTTTTAAAAGTAATGTTCTTTATGATAATTTATATAACTAAAATTGATTCTAAAAAATTATTCAAATATCTTCAATTTTGTTAAAATTAATTTTAAAAAAATAGCATACAAACAGATTACGTTCTAACATAATCAATTATAATTAAAATCTACTATTTAATCAATTATTTTTATAATCTGTTATGCTTAATTGAAATTCAAACAGGCACAGTGATCATTCTCGACTCACAGTCCTTGCATATGATCTTTCTTGTCCGTGCCCTATGTTATTATAAAAGATTACATTCTGTAATAGAAAGTTAGCAACATGGCCTGAAAATTGATGCTCAGAACATGAGGGCTATTTTAGACTAGTTTAACTTGCCGTTTTCTTTTTTCTTTTTTTAAAAAAGCCCCAAAACAAGTTCATGGGATGGCATCTACAATTAAGACTTAGTTGGAGTAGGAACAGAGCGGCCACTGAGTAAAGTGGTTAAAAAAAAAAAAAATCTTTGTTTAGCCAGAGAGAGATGAATTCAGCTGCGAAAATGACAGCAAGTCAGGCTAAAATGATAACAGAAAGAACGAAGTGATGCGCAAAGGCTTTGTAATTGGGAATGGTCGAGTACGGTATTGTTATATTCCAGATTCGGGCCAAGAAAAAATAGTATTGTGTTCTTACTTGCAATGACGGTGCCTCAGAAATCGCCACTTAAAATTAAAAACATTAATTTAATCCTACCACATTACAGGGTCAATATTTAGAAAAAAGAAGACTAAGAGTATGTTTGATTTTTGTTTTCATTTTTTGTTTTTAAAAACTGTTTTATAATATAATTTTTACAATTGTTTTTAAAGTAAAAATAAAAAGAGGATCCGCTTAGTTATGAAATTTAAAAATAATTTTAAAATTAAAAATGGAGTGATCATGATAGTTATAGATAATAAGTAATAATAAAAATTAATTAATGTAACTATAATTTTTAATAATCAAATGTAACATATTTTAAAAATAAAAAAATTGAAAAAATTTAAATTTTTTATTTTTTTGTTTTTAAAAGTAAAAAATGAAAAAAAAATTAAAAATAATTAAATGAAAAATACTAATTCAAATAAATTTTTACATTTTTAAATTTTTTAAAATAAAAAACAGCTTTTAAAAATAGAAAACAAGCAAACCCTAGATAAGTGATGCTGCTACTGCCGCTCCAAATTCTCAATATCAATATTGAACAACACCAACAACGATAATAATACCGGCACGATGGCTTGATAATAATTGACAGAAAAATTATATGCTTGTATCATTGTTCCGATCATAATCCAGCTGCGATCGAATTATTGATCATAAATATATTAATATATCTGTAATTATACACGTGTATGCTACATAAAAATTAGAATAATAAAAAATCAACTTTCACTTGTCCATGAATGATTTTATCAACTTTGATGAAATATTGATTACTCGTTTTTTTTTATTTTAATTTTCGAGTACATGAGGATGGGGAAAAAAAGAATACATGAAGTTTTGTCTTGTATTTTGCCTGAATCGTACAGACACATACCAGATACGTAAACAGGAGTATTGAAGAAGAAGGATGATAATTTAGGCCAAAAAAGAAGAAGGATGAATGATAATAAATTATTGTCAAATACAGTGAGCGAGAAGGAGCAGAGATGGTGATCACTTTCCTGTGAACCGATGATTGTAATCAGTTTAAATACAAAATCCATCGGCATCACGATGTGACGTCGTTTCACACCCCTCCGAGCTTGGTGCCAGTAGTGCCTCCACCACTACGCTCCCACTCGTTTTTCTTCCTTCTCCCCCGAAAGGACCTAAACCAACCTTCACCAGCTTCCTCTGCCCTATTTATTTTCTCTTTATAATTCCCCCTAATTTTCCCCTTTCTCGCCCACATTCGTGTACGGCATCCTTGTCTTCGTCTCAATTTCGATGGAACAAGAGCCGCTTTTGCCGAGTGAAGATCTTCGCCGCAGTCGCGGGGCTAATCCCATGCTCCGCGCGTCCACCTTACGCGCCACTTTCACCCTCCCTCTGACTCGCTACACCACCCGTCTGATCGCGGCCGAGCACCACCGAATTTTCCTCGGCGACTGTACGGAGAACCTGTCGGGGGATGACGAGGACCGGCCCCTTGAGGACAGCAGTTGCGCCTATTCGAGACCCATTTTGGTTCTGGACCTTGTATGGAACCTGGCCTTTGTACTGGTCACTGCTGGTGTGCTTCTTTCCACGCTTAGCGAGCGTCCATCCACCCCTCTGAGGCTTTGGCTCTGTGGGTATGCTTTTGAGTGTATTCTGCATATGGGTTTTGTGTGTTTTGAGTATCGGCGGAGGACTCGAGATTTTTACCGAGCTGAGCCTGGGCTTTCGCTTTGCCAGAGTTGGAACAGGTATTCAGTTTCTTCTCAGATTTTCTGGCACAAACAATAGGTTATATCAGTAGATGATCAATTAATAAACTGAATAAAAGAAGCCGATCCGAGTGGCCGTCGAAGCATTATTCTGGTTCGATATGATCAGATTTTGCAGTTATTACCAACCAAAAAACTTGTAGAATTCATCCTTTTCCGTTTTCCGCTTCTCCTTTGAGGGTTTCGGGCGTTTTTGTTGCTTGCCGTGGCTTGTTTCTCTTCCTGGTCTATCGGCCACTGGTTTTGTTCTGATAAAACTGTTAGATACCTGAAAAAAATGAGCTTTTTTATCAGTACTTGTTTGGGCTTCGTACAGTTCGGGCCTAACTTTTAAGTCTCGGGATTTGTAAACCGTAAACCGTGTCTTTTCCTTGGAACATAACTCTCTCAAAAGGCTCTCATCATCTTATCAACTTCAGCTTATAGTTGTAGGTAGTGGACGATCGCTTTTTCTATAGTCTGTTATCATTTTGACAACTTCATGTACTGTTTATCAATGTTTACCTGCTGTAGTGTGGAAGTAGATTCTCTTAAAGTGATTCCATGTACCTTTTGTTTTCTGCTAAAGATTTATATGAATGTTGGAAAAATGATGGAGAATTGGAGATGTTATCTTCTCTTGATATCATTGATCTGCTAGTGGAAAAAATAGTGAATTTTCACTTGCGGGGCTCTCAATATTTCTTTGGCCCTCGGGGTTTTTGAGTTGTACTGCCGCGTAGACACCAAGTTTCTTTGAATCCAAGGTGCCATCAGTTGATTGCAATTATGTTGTTTGGATCAGTTAAACTTGGACCCTGTTTACTGGCATTTTTTCCTTTAGCAGATGCAATATTTCCTTTACACCCTCTTATTTTATGTTTAGAATTGAATGATCAGCGTCCAAGTTATTTTGAAAACCAAATTGTGAGGTGAATGATGATTTTCTGGTGTCTTGTATGTTTGCTTTTGCTCTTAAGCATATAAATTGACATGGAGTTAAACATTCATTTCACTGTACTTGTTTTCAGCAATGTGAAGAAGTTAGAGTCTATGAACACATTGGTATCATCTATTTGGTGGGTCCTTGGGTTTTATTGGATTGTGGTGGGTGGCCAGCAGCTTTTGCAAGATTGTCCTCGTATCTACTGGTAAGAACCTTTGATCTGGAACCAGGCGAAGTCAGGCCATAATTTGAACCTGACATAGTGTAATTTGTAAACTGTGTAGGATGTAATTGGAACTTTATTTGTCACCAAAATTTAAAATAAAAAGCATGAATATAGTGAAAGTATTGGTTCGTCTTTATGAGTACATGGAGAACTTAGTGATGTATTTATCCCATTCTTGCAGGTTAACAGTGGTCTTTCTAGCCTTTGATGTATTTTTTATTATATTTTGCATTGGGATGGTATGTGTAGTTTTCTTTGCTCTCTTCTTCTTCATCCCGATAGTAGCATTAGCTTATGCTATGAGAATCAGAGAAGGTGCATCAGAAGAGGATATCAGGTCTCTTCCTAAGTATAAGTTTAGTCAGCCAAATTCATTGTTGATGGTTGATGACAGTAAGAAGCAAGTTTCTAAAGCAAGAATAGATGCAAGCAATAGTAACCTTGTCAGCGAATTATATGTCAACCCAGATGATTCTGTGAGTATTATATCTTATCACATCTTGCACTCAGTGACTCTGATTTCGTTAAGCTGTAATTAGTCCTTTTTTTTTTGGGCATTTTGTTTGAGATTTAACCTATTTTAGAGCTTTTAAGATTATGAAATAGTCCATCCTGTGTCATTCGCAACTTTTCCATCTATTGGCATTAACTCTGCAGTTTAAATTAACTTTTCCTCTGTTCTTAGATTTTTCGCTTCCCAAAATCTTGAACTTATAAACTTTCATTTTAGGTTTGTGCTAAAGGTTGAAGAAACCCATATCAACAGTGCATGTGTTAAACCCACAGGTTGAATGGTTGATTATCAATTACCAGTTGTGGACTTTGTTTCATCCTAGTAAACCTGTCATGGAACTGAACTGATGCCATCATAGGATGTGTACTTGAATTACATTGCAAATCCATGTCCCTGAGTGATTAAACCAATTTAAGGCTTTTGGCTCTTATTCTATTGATCCCTTACCATAGAAATTGAGCCATTCAATTATATGTTCATAATATCCATGTTTGTTAAAATATTCACGTGGTGAAATAAAATTCAAGGCTACAAGGTTAGAATCTGAAAGGGCATTTTCCATGATTTTCCACCCTATAGACGCTGCTTGTCATGGCTGTAAAAGTGTAATATTCATCTTTATAGGGTTAAGTTGCTTCTGCTTACTTGCATTGCAGGAATGCTGCATCTGCCTTTCTCCATACATAGAAGGGGCAGAACTTTATCGCCTTCCCTGCACACACCATTTTCATTGTGGTTGCATCAGCAGATGGCTTCGGACAAAAGCAACCTGCCCCCTCTGCAAATTTAATATTCTCAAGAGTGACACATTGGTTTGACCATTCCTCGTGACACAGTCGCTATATCATCTATAAAGAAGTTGACAATGAAGAATCCAGATAGGCATTTGCTAGTCTGCTGACGTCGGTTGGTAAATAAAATGTGTAGAGGCCAAAAAAAAAAAAAAGAAAGAAAAGAAAAGAAAAAAAAAAGAATTTCCCCACCCCTTCCTTCGGATGAAGCACAACTTCTTTCGAGTAGAATGTTGTTATTGCCTTCTGAACCTTTTTTCATGAAGAGGAATCAGGAATGTATATATTGTAAAGGGTGGATTTCGAGGATCATAGAATCAAATCAATGATTCGTACAGAAATGATTTCTTATTGCTTATTTTGCCACATGTCCACCCAAGAGAATTTTGAATGTTTTCAGGTTCCGATAAGCAAAATTTGGGCAAACAAAGGGGAAAAACAAAACTTTCCCAATTCAAATGGATTTTTTTTTTGGGTAAAAAGGAATATAATATTTTTATACATTGAAATGTTTTACTTTGCTCCACTGCAACAAGCTCATCACAACGAGAATCGATGCTGAAGTTACTTGTGAATTGCTCCCTCCAGTTTCATTGATAAGGTCTTTTTTAAAAAGTTTGTTTGATATTATTTATAAGTTATGATATAGTTTTTTAAATAATATTTAAAAAATATTTTTAAAATCAAACTTCACAAGAGAAAAATAATTAACATCATTATTTTTTAAATTTATTATATAAGAGTATATTTAAAATTTTATGTATTTTTATTTTTTTATTTTTTATATTAATATTGATGAAATTAATAGAAATAAGTTATAAACAGAAGCCAACGAGTGACATGATCCTGAAGGCACCAATCGCATCCTGAGACCCTGTCCTTTCGCTTACTCCCGCTGGCCGTTCATTGTTCCCAATAATAAACTCCACGGGTTCCTCTCCATGGCCTTTCAAGATAGGCTTCTGCGAAATATCAAACCCACAGGCGCAGACCAGACTTGGACGTTGACTTTTGAAACAGAAGACTCTTCACTCAAAATGTTGTAATAGTTGTACGCACCTTGGTTGATCATCTGGTTAAAGCCAAGGGTTGCTGAGGATTCTTAGCACTAGTGGTTAGCTGTCTAATTGTCTTATTTGCAACCTCGTATCTTGTTCTTTCTATTATTTGAATAAATTTTACCTTTCACTACACAAAATGGAGAATAAATGTTGTAATTGTCATAAAACCTGCGGCGAGCATGAAACATCGTTGTGGCTACAGATATAGGATGCGAATTCACAGTGCAATAAGGGGTTATTAACTGACTGAAAATCAAATAACACGAATCAATTAATCCATGAAGATGAAGGCAACAAGAATTCCAAGCTCAACCAACCAAACGCCGTGTATAGGTTCATGCATTCCATTGAAACTTCATGACATAGAAATACATTGTGGATTGGCTAAGAGCAAATCAAAAGGATTAAACCTTGGAAGATAACTTGTGCTCACGATCAAATATTCTTCAACTTCTTCATTTTAGAAGGTAGCCATCTTCCTTTTTTCCTCAATTTGCGCTTCCTGACAAAGTCTTTTCCTCCGAAGCCTAATCTTGGCCATTTTCATACTCAATCTCTGCTACTTCCTCTCTTGCAGCTTCGATTCCAAAGGAAGCTTGTCAACTGGCACAACCTCTCCGGCACCTTGTGGAGGCAATTCACCGTCATTTGCTTAAGTTGCTCCATCAGCACCAACAGAAGCCGCTCTCACAACTGATGCAGCTGTTCTCTTGAAAGGGAATGGTGGTGAAATTCCAACTCCACTAAAATACTTGGAAGGCACATCAATGGGTCTAACGTGCAATCTGGAAACTGATATCGATACAAGTTTTCCCAAGAAAATAGGTCTATATATAATTAATAAACAAGATATATCAACAGAAACGCATCGATAAATAAATGAAATCAGAATCAGGAAATGGAAGGATAAGTTTAGGATAAGATGCCTCAACGATTTGAAGAGATTGTAGAGAGTGCAAGACTACAAAGGTTCTTACCAGTGGCAGTGGGGGATAGCCGTGGCTGTTGTCGAACAAGAAAAGCGAAGGGAAGAGGCAAGGGTGAAAGAAATGAAACAGAGCGGAGCCATTTTTTTTTTTAATTTTTTTTTAAGTTTAAAATGATGGCTCAGAGTTCCGCAATGGACGGTAGATGGCAGGAGAGGCTGAGAGAAGGCTTAAGGATAAGGTTCCGTCACCCGTGTCTCTCTCTAGTCGTTACTCGTTACTCGTTTTTTATTTTCCCGGAAAACAATTTTTTTATCAAAAAAAAAAAAGATCTTGCTAATTTTATTCGTATTACTATAACTCAAATACATTCATTACTTATTCTAAAACTTAATATTTACAATAAACTAAATTTTTTATAAATCAAATTGCGAGTACATTAAAGTTAGTTCAAGTGGATATTCATTAGAAGAGGTATCCTGCATATTCATTAGAGTTATCCTACATAAACAGGTTAAAGCGTACACAGCGTAGATTTCCTTTGTTGGGACCATCTAGTTAAAGAATCTACTCAATGTAGATCAAATTACCCCTTTTCCTGGTAATTGATTACATCAGTTTGTTCATCTTGTATACCTATACCTAATAAAAAGATTTTTTTTTTGGCATACAATAAAAAGAGATTTTATATAGTTGAAGATCTGTTCTGTTTCAGTGATTGACAACTACATTTGGGAGAAAAACTTGGCCACTGAAAATAAAATGGATTTACCGGGTTTAAAATCATTTTCCCATTACAGTTGAAAAACATTTTCTCTACATCTATTATTGGACACATCCCATCTAGGATTATCAACTACAAAGCCAAGATTTTGTGTTCACGTCGTAGAATAGCCTCATGCAAACGTGCCATTAAATATTATGTATGATTAAATCACGTGAACAGTTCAAAATGTCACATACAATAATATCATTTGTCAAAGAAACCATCAAGTTAAATACTTACATGCATATAATGCTTTTCCTCAAAGGTTAACCCGAAACACCAACCAACTGAATATCAAACATCAAACCGGATTCCTATGGAAGCGTATGGGAACGAAATAACAAGGGGTATGAGCAACAAAATCCACTGCTCCAACACTGCCACAAACAACAAAAATAACAAAAGGTCTCAGGTCTTGCAATTTGAAGGTGTTTTAAATGGGAGAGCATATCCTATCCTGAAAACTGAAATCTATAGATAAAAGCGTAACATTTTTTTTTAATATAACAATGAATATGAAATTTAAATTTCCTCATAAACAAAGGGAAACAGAAATTAGTTAAACTTGGTTGTTATTGTTATTATTATTATTTTTGCCAGAGCAGTTAACTAAATTCAAACTTACCACAGAAAGCAATGGCCCTTGTTTAAATTTTCCATGGAACGAAAATGCAATTGGCTTTGGATTGTTCCCAGGCCCTCTGATAAATCCACTGTAACATGTAATTGCAAGACAGTGTAGATCAGTCCCGGGCAAATGACACTACCTTGACATGTCATCAATAAACAATATTGCTTCCAAATAATTTGGCATTAAAATTTACATAGGAAAAATATAGCGAGATTAACAGGTCAACTATTTTCAAACATTAACTCACATTAGTGATGTAGATATCAGAGGAGTCCTTCTTGTGTCATATATAGCAATCAGGCCTTTATAAACCTCATCTCCATCTTTAAAGGAAACAGCCAATCGCTCACCTGAATGATCCCATGCTACCTTTTCAATGCCAAGACTGAATAAAAAGAAATAACAAGAGAATAAATAGTGATCCCATTTCTATCAATGAGAATCGTACCAGGCAGAACCAACTGATAGAGGATTTTATCCCCTCCCAAATTAAAACAAAGGTTAAAAGCAGAATTATGCCAGTTGCTGGAAACACTTTGGAAGTATACAACCGTTTTTTTTTTTTTTTGAGGGGGGTTTCCCGAAAATAAAAGAAGAAGAAGAAGAAGAAGAGAAAAGAAATTGAGAAAATAAAGCACGACAATAATATAGATAAAAAGATATTCCTTGTTCTGATACATACATCTCATTCTATCTTTATGAAGAGTTTTTTTCAAGAACGTGGGCAAGAACCATAACTATTATAAATATATCAACTGTAAATTTCTCTCTACCTGCCAGTTAGTGACATCGCCTCTGGCAAATCGACAGGCAACAGATGTGCATCTGGAAGAATAATCAACAAGCAATTATCAGTGTAACGCTCTAATTTTAAAGAAAACCTTTCCAAGCTTAGAAGCAATAGGCAGAACATGACAGAAAAGACGTTATTTTGATACCACAAACTCAACTATCACTACAGGAAAACGATATTTCATCTTAATCAGATTCAACCAATACCATCCCTAGTCAAAATAATCAATTGATATACAATAGCAGATTCCTCGACAAGGATTTTTTTTTTTTTTTGGGCGTTTCATTCTTGTCCGTGCATACATTTTTCTTAAAATATCATGAGTCATAATATATCATCTGAGCAAAATTGAGAAAATATTTAATCAACTATCAACTAATTTAATCGATTTACTATTTAGTGTCCAATACTTCCATCTTTACTGTCCATAACAGACCAAATAAGCATTACATGAAGAAACTCAACAAAAAAAAAATAAAAATAAAAATTCCAAACAAAAGGCCATATACCTAACGAGGGAGGTTTTGATGCAAAGTGAACAGATCCCAAGGTTGAAGATTCAGAAAAAGCAAGCAGTATCATACGTCCATCAGGATCCCACATTGCACCCTGATAGCACATCATCGACAGCAGGTACAATTGAAGATAATACAGTTATGTGATGGCCATCAGGAAAAAAGAAGTTATAGTGGTTCCTGTATTGTTAGATGACTTCATGCCGAAAGGATAACATGCAAGGAAAAAAGTAACTACCATCTGGATATTCCAATACAATTTAACTATGAAGACTCATCAAGCTTACGAGTCTTATCATTTAAAAGAAAATTTTAAACTTTCCTCTCTTAAATTTCTCAGAAATTTATCCTATAATTTCTATTATTTAGACTTGTGAAGCTTCAGACATTATGTTAATGTCCATTTCCAACTTGCAAAGAAACTTCTATATGGCTATGATACTATTCGACAAACTTTTCAAGGAGAATTATATTATTAATTCTACTCCAATCATTTTAGGAGGAAATGAAGAAAGATTGTCTGTTGCGGATTCCCATGTTTTCTTCCCCAAATAATGCATGTAATATTGGGTCTAAAATTCTGAGGGGGAAAAGCCAGGAACTTGAATCAAATAAAATAAAGGCTATTGAAGGAAAATATTATTGCCTTTTTCTTGGTACAGTATAGCAATCCAATCTAATGAATAAATGATCCCCAAAAGTGCATAAAATAGACAAAATACTCATAACGTTAAGCATCAAATATGCATTCTGACAGATTAGTATGTACTACGGGGAATCAACAACTCTTACTCTTCTTTAGAGGATATTAGAATAGCAGGGTAAAATTTAGAACGGATCTGGAGTGTGGACTTTGATTCCTCCAATATGACACACATTAAACTTGAACAATATAAGTTTGTATGATAGAAAGTCAATTTCAAGTCCAAAATCTTTTATGTGGGTTGTCCATGCTAAGCAAATCTTCATATTGCCCCCTCCCCAAGAAATAGATATATTCTTGTAAGACCCACTATCCACTTGAAAATCTAAAGCCTCAGATTAAGTCCTATATCCGGGCTGCAATACTAAACAGCATCAACAATACTAGTTTGATACATAATTTTTAGAGAAAAACTGTTACATGTCTAAGTGATCTCATATTTGCCAAGTAGAAACTGAAGAATCTCAGTATTGCATATGATCGTTAAGATAATGTAATTTGGCATGACATTGATGAACATACCAACTTCTTAATTTAATGATCAAGAACTAAATTTTATGGCTTTAAGTCATTATAAGGCACCAAAACATGAATTTTGATATTACATACCTTTACAAACCCACTGGTTGACGACCATTGTTCAGATGCCCAAGTGTTTGTCTCCCAAAGATAAAATGTTCCATCACTGTTAAAGAACATAACCATCAAGATATGAATCAAAATAATCTATGATTAGTTAATTTTTCAATGTTCAAATGAAAACGAGACTTGTATAGCATATGGCATACAATTTTGAGGCAAAGAAGTAATCTCCAGTTGGTGACCACTTCAGCATTGATATGCCCCCTAATCCCCGCCGAATGGGTGTCCCCACACCTACAGATGATATGCCAAAAAATAATCAAGAGATGGGAGGAATTTAATACATGTTGATTGCAATAATAAATTCATAAAGACAATCCAAATTCATGCTGCCACTCCTCAAACTTCCAGTACTCAGATGAGTAACAATCAACTCATAATCCTAACATAAAATAAGGCAACAGATATTTGACAAGTTTATTTAATTACAATTCCAAATATTTTCATTTTGTTAAAGCATTCCAAATAAAATTACCCTAAGCAGGGAAACATTCACAAACATTTGTGAGGTGCGGCACAAGTGTGTGCACATAATAAATTTCCTTATTTTCTATGTAAAGTTCCAAGTTGACAATAAAGTTCTGACGGTGAGAAATTGAATTGCTAAAAATGCCAATGGACCCAGTATCATTCCCAATTTTATTTCCTCGTCTCAAGTGTCATTATAAACTATCAGTATAATCTTTATATTATTCCCCCAACATTCTACCTGTTTCTTCACAACTAACTCTTTTCTTGCTTGCCATAGTTGCTGTAGTTTTTCTTTTTCAAAAAAAAAAAAAAAAACTTAACCGTATAAGCTATAAAAGTGATAATATTTACTGATGAACCGAAATTAGAAATTAGGTAACGCATACCAGAATCCTGGTGACATTTCATCTTTATTTAATGATGAACTAAAATTAGAAATTAGGTGACGCAAACCAGAATACTGGTGTTTCATCTTCTACACCTCATGTTTAGCATTCCTAAATTAAACCCTAAGCTCCATATGCTTTCTTAATTTTCAAGGCAGCAGTAAAATTTCAAAATAATATTATTTGGATAAAATCTAAATTCTTTAAAGGTAAATTACCTAAAAGATCTTCAGTGTATGCGTACAAGGGATAGGGTGTTTCCAAACCATTCACATAATTATGAGCAACCCACTATTAATGTATCACATGTATGAATAGACTGCATTCGACATGTATATACAGAATCCAAAACTTTGTTCCGAGGAAACGTTTTGAATTTGATCAATGAAACCCAAGTTTTACTCTTGACTATGGGCTCAGTTTTATTATTGTCATTTCCTGTGACATTCATTAAATGAGGTAAACATCTCAGTTCTCACAAAAATATAGAAAACGTATCAATAGGGCTATGGTGAAAGTAGTTGAGCTATGCTGTATCTTTATGTCTCCATAGGCCACAGCCGATGAGTCTTGGCCTCAAAATGCTGACTAGAGTAACAGAGTCAAGTTGCATAGAGCAAGTTCTAAACCTATCCAGTGAGCTATAGTTGATCGTCAAGAACAAGGGAATGGTAATGTCACATTATACAAAATTAACCAGTGATCTTGACCATACCTTGAGAAACATCCCACACAGTGAAAGAGGAGCTCTCATATGAAGCAGAAGCTAAGTATGTGAAAACAAGTCAAGAAAAGTACGAATAGAAATTAAAGTTTCACTGAAAACCAAAGTATATGCCCCAAGTCAGTGTTCTTAAAACCGCCAAAAAAGAAGATACTTTCCATGTGCTTCCAGGGCAAAGGAAAAAACAACCAAAAGAGACCCATATATGAATTCTCATATGGAAAACATAAAGCAAAACAAATAAAGCGAGCAGTATATTTCTTAGGATATCTCCCATCTGGGCTCCATGTAAGAGCACTAATATGTTCATTGTCCTCGCTGCAAAGAAAATCTGCCAGGATATACCGAATTCCAGTGCCTCTTGATAAACTTCCTACAAAGGAAGCTGCCCCAGATCTAACAGATGCTGCATTCCCCGGATAAGAAGCAGCCCATATGAATATTCCGCCCCTGAAAAATAGATTCACTGATATAGTATAAAAAATTCACAATACCCTGGTGGGCTACGAACAACTTTTGAGTAAAAACCACGCATGAACGGCAAGTTCTCACTTGCAACCCAAAGAGAGCATCCGGCCACCATTAGGCCTCCACTCGAGTACTCTAACATCTCTCTGGTACTCATTGGTCAGAATGATTGGATCCTTCCCTTCTGTTCATTATGTCAAACAGCCGGCAATCACCCAAGAAGCCAAAAAGTGAAATTATTAAAACACACATGAAACGCCAGATAGCTTAAATAGGTAAGCTACCTGAGTCTTCATAGTCACGAAGCATAACTTGATTTGGCCCAGAGATAAACGCAATTATATGCTTATTCTGGTGCCAGCTTACTCCTTGAATATCAACCTCTGGTAGCAGATGCACCTGCAAATCATTTATACAACAATATAGCGTACATGTAACTTAAAAAATGCAACGCATCTGAACTTCAAAAAATAAATAAATAAATAAATGAGAGGACGCCATACATCATTAGGGCGAAAAAGGCGCCCAAGGGACTCATTGACTAGCCCTAGCAAGACAGCCAATAGACCTTTCCTTTGGACCCCATCCCCAGCAGTTCTTCCATCTTGTTCCGCATCGTAATCAGTAGTTGGTGATACGAGCTGTTCTGGCTGAAATGGCACAGGGCTAAACACCAATCCCTATAATAAAAAAAAAACCGGAAATGAGAGAAGAAAATCCAAGTAAGTCCCCCTATCAAATTCAATCACACAACACAGCAAGACACATTAATTCAATTAAGATGTTCCAAATAAGCCAAGTTTACTAGAAGTTTCCCGTAGGTGTCCTTTGCTCGATCGTCCGAGAGCGTGTCGGCAGTAACTGCAGAATGAAAGAAATAAGCTGATAATTAGAAATGAAAAAAAAAAAATCAACGGCCAGCAGAACTCGGAATGAGGAGACGGCGGATAGAATATAGATTTAGAAAGATAGTGATACTTAGGTCGCGATTGACTTCGCAGATGGTGACAGAACCAGGAGGAGGGAAGGAAGGCATGTCAGATCGGGATTTGGAAGGGATCGTGAGTGAGTGTAGGGTTTTAGCTCAAATCAGCGTTTCGCTCCATCGACTAGCATCTTGGGGTTTTATTTCTTTCCCGCTCTTTCCATTGTTTTATTTTCTCACGCTTTCCAGCACTAGCCGCAACTCACGTGCAACTCACATGCGGTGGCTTGCCCTGAGGGGCCATTTGAATATCCGTTTGAAATCACCTAATTTTGAGGAAAAAAGAAGTGAGTTGAGCACTCAAACCAGAAGGTGAACAAAGAAACAGAGTGAAGAGAGCAAGAGAACGAAGGGCTCATAGCTGTTCTGACCAGAAAACTGACCCAGCCGCTCAAGATCACAGAGTCGAATGATGGGGGAAGGAAGAGAGACGGAGAGATAAAGGGGTTGAATAGGGAGTAAGAGAATGGGATAAAAGAGAGGTAATGATTAAATACATCTTCTATTCTCTGATTCTTCTAGCCCTTACAATTTATTACTTTTTTGGTGATGTACTGATAGAATGAATTAGATTTTGCTGCGTTTCTTCTTGGTTACTCCCATGTTTGCTATGTTGTTATTGATGAAATGGGTGAAAATGTAGTGTAGCTTCTTGATTCTTACTTATTGTCACGGGCTTAGAGTCTGGCGCAGCACACGACGCTCGTGCGGCGTCCTGGAGGACCCCATAATCCTCAAGACAAGCCTTATCACATACGAATCCTACTGGTTTCGCCCTACTATGGGCTCATCAAGGAGGCGGCTCTAGCCCCCGACCAGTTGTGCACTTAGCCCAAAGACTAAAGCAGAACGCACCCAATGCCAATGTCGCCCCCTTTACCCATATTGTGCGAGGCTAACCAGCGGATCATTCATTATCTTGGTCTTTACACGGTCACGAAGATATCATTCGTGACATTCTCCCATATTCAATCTAGCATGCCCTCGTGCTAGGGGGAAAGACTCTACCCAAAGATCACACGTACAGTACTACCACAAACACATCAGCTTACTGCTGAATGGCCACCCGAGTCCTACACTCTTCGGACCCACTCGCACCCGTGAGCCAACAGGAGTGGAGTCGACCACGGCCAATCTTCCCGCCCGAGTCCCTATTTTTGGACCCACCTACACCTCGCAGGCCTACTGGAGCGGTGCCGAGATCAACTAGTCCCAACGTAGGACTCCAAAGGCACACGGTAGTAAAGTACGTTCTGCTTTGATATCACTCTGTCATGGGCTTAGAGTCTGGCGCAGCACACGGCGCCCGTGCGGCGTCCTGGAGGACCTCATAATTCTCAGGACAAGCCTCACCACATATGAATCCTACTGATTTCGCCCTGTCATTGGCTCATCAGGGAGGTGGCACTAGCCCCCGACTAGTTGTGCACTTAGTCCACACACTAAGGCAGACGCACCCAATACCAATGTCGCCCCCTTTACCTATATTGTGCGAGGCTAACCAGCGGATCGTTCATTATCTTGGTCTTTACACGGTCATGAAGATATCATTCGTGACATTATGCTCTCTATGTGGTCGAATGAACAAATGCTTCTTCAAAGTATTGTGATGAAGTTGGAGTTTCACTGTAGCTTGCTTTTGGGGTCCTCAACCTGAGCCAAATTAGCTCCGAGAGTTTTTTTTTGGGTGGTTTCCCCACTTATTGACTAAATGTATAAGCATGGTTCCTCTTTCTGTGGCTTCTTTATAATGTTGAATGAATAATTTACTGTCCACCTCGATCTCCAATTCGCATGCCTTCTTTTTCATGTAAATAGGTTATAGGTCAGAAATTTAAGGGCCTGTTTGGTATCTTGTTTTCAGAACTGTTTTTTATTTTCTAGAGTAAAAAAAATAAAAAAAACTTGTTTGATAAAGTGTTTTTAGGGAAGTGTTCCTGAAAACAAAAAACCACAATTCTATTCTCAGAAATAGAAAAGCAAAAACAACTTTTGAATGTTTTGAAGTTATTGTTTTACAAAACAAAGGTGAGGCGGAGAACTACCTGTTTTCATTAATGGCAAGCTTGTAAATAATCCAAATTTTTCTCAACCCTAAATGCCTCTATTTCTCATCATTCTTTAGACAGCTTCTTCATCTGCTTCATGCTTCGGAGTTCTGACCATCGAAGTTCAGGTGTAGTCACAGCTTGCTTCATCTTCTTCGTCTGAGAGAACCCAGCTCATCGACTTCATGCTCGTGACTCAGGTGTGTCCTTTCTTCTTTCTTTCTTCGTTTTGCTCTGTTTCTTTATGCCTTTTTGTTCAATAAAGTTGTTTTGTTCTGACGCTTTACTCATTTTTTTTATTTTATATTTGTTTTGCACTTTTGAGTTCTGGTTGCCTTTCCTCCACTTCATGCTCTAGGTTGTTTGTTTCTACTCTTTTGTGGCTGCACTACACCTGAGTTGTATTTGACCGATTCTATTTCTTTCTTTTGTCTTTTTGCCTTGTTTACGAATGAATAGAATGTTTCAACTACTGCACTTGTAGGGACCGACTCTTTTCCTTCTTTATTAATGAATAAGAACAACTTTGTTTATTAATAAATTGATGAAAATCTGTGCCCTTTTAGTTATTTTTTAGTTTAGCATGAGGCATTTGAACTTTAACATAGAATCATTGATTTGGGTTAGTTTTAATTTTCTCTAGCACAGGGAATTTGAACTTTAGCACATATTCATTGATTTCTTTTACTTTTAATTTTCTTTACAAAGGGTATTTGAACTTTAGAATCTAACCTTAACAAAATTGCTTTTCTTATTCATTTTATTTGTACTGAACTTGATATTTTTTTGCTAACATATTATATATATTAATAGATGGCAACTAGTGAGCATGTTGAAAATACAATTTGGCCTAAGCATATTATTAAATGCTTCATTGATATCATGGTTGAAGAAGTTACCAAAGGTAATATGAATAACGGTATGTATTCTCCCAAAGTTTGGAAAAGTATGCTAGAGAACTTGAATGCTAAATGTGGACGGTCTTATAGTTTGAAACAAGTCAAGCAAAAGTTTAATAGGTTGCGTACAAAGCATAGAGAATTTTCTCAACTGCTATAACACACTGGATTTAGTTGGGATGCTGAAAGCAACACTGTTATTGCTGATGAGGAAGTTTGGAAGAACTATATTATGGTATGTAATCATATGAATTTTATTTAGTCTATATAATATTTATATATGTTATTAATTCACATGAGTATATGTATGTAGGTACATCCTGAGGCTGCACCCAAGGACTAGAACATTACAACCTATTAGGTGTAATTTTTAATAGAAGCACCGCCACGGGTGTACTCCATCATTCATCTACACAAGATCCACCTAATTCTGATGATGAAAACAATCTTGAAAATGAATATATAAATACTGGAGTTCATATAGACCTTAGTAGGGATGACGATGTTGGCCCAGAAACAATAGAGCGTGTAACTCGTAGTGAAAAACATGTTGTTGAAGTCTCTAATAGCAAGAAAAGGAAAGAATATAGGTCTAGTCAAATGGGAGATGCAATTCAAGCATGGGCTGAAGCATCTAAAGCAAAGGCTGAAGCTGAAATTGCTAAGGCTGAGAGGTGGAGAGCAAGGAGTGTTGAAAGTAGTAGTACTGGAGTTTCATTATCTGAATATTCAGTTGTCAATTGTATTACTGCCCTTGATGCCATTGATGATGTCCCTGATGATATCCATGCCAAAGCAATGGAAAAATTTACTTAAGGCATTTATAGAGAATTATTTATGACAGTGTGTTTAGAGAGAAAGAAGGCATGGCTGTATAATTTAAAGTGATGTATGTGAGTTGGTAGTTTTTATGTTAGGTGGTGAATCTCTTGTTTCATGAACGTGCTTTTTGGTGCTTTTCATGTTAATTTCTTGAACTATTTTGTTGGTCTTTTTAATGTTAATTCAATGTGATGTTACTAGTCTATGTTTGTTTGTGCACTTTTTATTCATTTCTCTTTTTTTCATGGTTTGTATTCTACAGTTCACTGATTTTAATCAGAATGGACGTAGATGATAACTCATCAGTTGATGGATCTATATCTTCATCAGGGTCAAGCGAAGAAGACCATGAGATAGAAGAATTAATGTCAATTGAAATGTTATGTGAGTATGAAAGTATGTTTCTCAATGAGGTCCTAATCCGTACATCTGCACCAACAAGTCAAGCATTTGTTAATGAGCTCATTAATGGATCTGGAACTACTTGCTATGAATTGCTACGAATGGAAAAAACATGTTTTCTTACATTATGCAATGAGTTGAGGAATAAAAATTACTTAGATGATTCGAGATGTTTAAATTTGGAAGAAAATGTGGCAATGTTTTTGTATATTATAGGCCATAATCTTAGACAAAGGGTAGTTGCAGATTGTTTTCAACATTCTACCCAAACTATATCAAAATATTTCAAGGGAGTGTTAAGAGCAGTATGTCAATTGGGGAAAGAGCTCATAAAACAAGAGAATGTAGAGTTGCCAAACCATGTTACAAATAACTCAATGTATTTTCCTTGGTTTAGGGTAAGTCTTAATAATTACTTTTCTTTGTTCATTATTTTTTTTATCATAACTATATATATTTATAAATATTTTCCATATAGAATTGTGTAGGTACAATTGATGGTACATATGTAAGTGCTTGGGTACCTTTTGAAAAGCAAGCATCATATAGAGGACAAAAGACAATTGTTACACAAAATGTTATGTGTATATGTGACTTTAACATAATGTTCACTTATGTTTATTCGGGTTGGGAAGGTAGTGCTCATGATGCTAAGGTTTTAATGGATGCAATTACCAATCCTGAAGCAAATTTTCCATGGCCCCCTAGAGGTATGTTTTAACATAAAATATTTTTTATATGTTATTTGCTCAATTATAAACTTCAAAAATTTTATTTTTGCCACATATAGGTAAATATTATCTTGTAGATTGTGGATATCCTTGCAGTGGTGGGTTTCTTCCACCATACAGAAGAGAAAGATACCATGCAGAAGAATATAGAGGTAAAGGCCGCCAAGCTACAAGTCAAAGAGAGCTTTTAATTTTAGACATTCTTCATTAAGAATGACGATTGAGCGTTCTTTTGGAGTCTTGAAGGCTCGATTTCCCATTCTCAAGTTAATGCCACAATACAAGCCTTCAAGACAACGCCTTATTGTGGTGGCATGTTGTGCTATTCACAATTACATACGTAAATGGAGTCGTCGTGATATGTTATTCAATCAATGGGAGAATATGGATTCTGAACTAATGGAAAATTTATCAATGGAAGGAATGAATGAAAACATAAGTAGAGAAGGTACAAACTATAATCTAGAAAACTTGTCAAGATTATCTGAAGAAAGTGCAATAGAGATGGCAACACATCGTGATCATATTGCATCTCAAATGTGGCATGATTTTACCACTCCTCCTAGTTAAGTGTAGCCTTGTGTTTCTTATATCAATATTTTGGAGACCTTGCTTAAAACAATGTTACTTTAAGACTTGATTTTGTTGTTAGACTTTTATATATTTAATGTTTTTTTTGTTGATTCTATTCAAATTTTATTACTAATTAATTCATAGTTATAATATAATATTAAATAAATATAAAAATTATGTTAATATTAATTATATAAAACAAGTTATCAAACAAGTTTTTTTTTGTTTTTTATTCTCAAAACATATTTTGAGAAATTTATTAAACAAGTTTTTATATTTTTTTGTTTTCAGATATAGTTTTTTAGAACAATTATTCAAACAAGTTTTTTTATTTTTTTGTTCTCAAAACATGTTTTACAGAATATCAGTTCTCAGAATAATAAAATAAAAACAATTTCAAACAGGTCTTAAATTACTGTTGTTCCTATGCTTTTGGTCTTCTTAGTTCATCCTTCTAGCTGCTCTGGCTTTTTCTGCTTGTAAGTATTTTATGGTTATAAAATGACTACAAAATCAGCTGCTATGCTAAAACGGTGCTTTCCTAATGATGCAGAACATTAATCGCCAAAACTAATACAGACAACGAGGGGCAAAGTAGGGGATAGAAACTAGGAACTCCATTAACCCACCCGAATCCCTCAACTCTCTGGTCGCCTTATGGCACTCAGCCCGTTGAAAGGAAGAACCAAAGTCAGCAATTTCGTAGGTTCTAATAATCCGAGCATTAAGGGATTGGTGTTAGCTGGACGCAAACATAATGGCCACCATCTCAGTCATGCTCCTTTCAAGTAAGAAACTTCCTCCTTCTTTTAGCCCATGTCAGTTTGAATCAATGAGATGAAGGTTTTGTCCGGTTTGAGATATAGGAACTTCCCATCCGAGGCTTCGCTTGAACCTTCGACAAGCTCCCCCACGGTTTCATTTAGCCTATTTAATTGTTTCATTCAAAAGAGATGGAGGAAACCCACTGTTTCTGCCCAAACCCGTTTGGAAGATCGGGTAAGAGACTCCAAGTTAGACAAACTCATGACCCACCTTAATAGACTCAAGATTATTCTCAAAATCAACCAACTGATGTCAAATCGCAAACGCGGTCCCTTTGTGTCCGTACAGTTGATGTCCCGATGGAGGAGCATCATTGGGCTTAATGTCAGCATCGGGTCATTTATTCACAAATATCCCCACGTTTTTGAGGTTTTCACACACCCAATCAGGAGGAATTTGTGTTGTAGATTTACCGGGAAAATGAAAGCCTTGATAAAGGAGGAAGAGGTTGCTATAAAACAGCAGGAACTGGAAGCTGTGAAGAGGTTGAAGAAGTTGTTGATGATGTCGGTAAATGGGACTCTTCATATACATGCATTGAGGTTAATTAGAAGAGAATTGGGTTTACCGGATGATTTCAGAGCCTCCATAGTTGAAAAATACAATGGAGATTTCAGATTGGTCGATTTAGAGATTGTGGAATTAGTAGATAGAGATGAACGACTGGGAGTGGCTGAGATCGAGAAATGGAGGGAGAAAGAGTACAGAGAGAAATGGTTGAGTGAATTTGAGACCAAGTATTCATTTCCTACCAATCTCCCAACAGGGTTTAAAATTGAAAGAGGTTATAGAGACAAGATGAAGAACTGGCAAAGGCTTCCATATACAAAGCCTTATGAGAGAAAAGAAGCCATTCGTGTACGGACATGTGGAGGAGTTGAGCGCTATGAGAAGAGGGCCGTTGCTGTTATTCACGAGCTGTTGAGCTTGACAGTGGAGAAGATGGTTGAGGTTGATCAATTAGCTCATTTTCGTAGGGATTTTGCTATTGAAGTAAATGTGCGTGAAGTACTGCTAAGGCACCCGGGGATATTTTACATATCAATCATAGGGAAAACTCAAACTGTGTTTCTCAGGGAGGCATATAGTAAAGAGTGTTTGATTGAACCGAATCCCATATACACTGCACGTAGGAAAATGTTGGGTCTTGTATTGTTAAGGAGCAGGAAAACAAAACAATTGCTGGCTTGTAATGAATTCAAGGATGAAATCTGTGCAGAAAATGAGGATGGTGGAAGGCCAGGAGATTGGTTGGTTCCCTTAATGGAGAGCTCTGATCGCCATGATATTGCGGGCGATTTTGCTGACATATCTGAGTAAGACCACAGATGGTTTGGATATCTAAAGTCCTTTTTAAATGGAGAAGTGAGGTGTAAGTCTTTTTAATTGATTTTGTCAACCATATGAGAATGACGACTACAGACCTGCTGCTAGTGCCAAGCTCGAAGCAGATAATTTCACTCCGTAGTACCTTTAATCAAATTTTGAATTCATTGTGGGAACTAGTTTTAACTGTTGACGAAGGTTTTCGATTTAGGGCTGTGTAGTTTCTCTTTTATTCTTCCTTTATTGCTAAATACATGCTTTATTGCTTTGTGACTTTAAAATTAGGAGCTTTTCAATCAAACAGTTCAATATTTATTATATTTTACATTATGATCAGTTTATTATATTTGTTAATGTTATACTATTGTATGTCAATGATAAATCCTTTATAAATTTTTAATGATAAATCTCTTATATATCAATAATAAATATTTTGTATATCAATATGAACCAACCATACTCAATTTTTAAAAATTCAGTCCATATGACCAGTGAGTTAATATATCCTAAAATTTTATAATAAAAGTTTTTTTTTTCCAAAGTAAGATTCATTTACAATAAATTTCTTCATATATATCACAACAAAGTAAAACTTTACATAATCATTAAAAGGAGTACGCAATACAATAAATCTCCCCATTCTGGCATGTTGATGTACGCTAACGAGTGTCGTGTAAAACCAAATATGCGATAGGTCTTGCTCGTGCAGGACGTAAGATAATATGGAACAAGAAGATTGAAGTGTCGGTCTAATCTTTGAAGCTTATAAATTATTTTGGGCTTGATGCTTGCAATGTACAGTGACTAGTCAGTACTGTTTGTCTGACTATATTTGAAGCTAGTATCAAATAGATGCATTTAATGTATCAAAAACATAGATGTTTTTAACCCAGGCCTAAAAGGAAAAGAGAAAAATAACAACCAAAAACTTTTATATAAAATTTATATTAATAAAAAATTAATTATTGTAAAATTTAAATGAAAGACAAATTCAAATGAATTGTTAATAATTTAAATAAATTATTAAAACTTAATAAATATTATTAATAAACGCTAATTCATTAACAAACATGAATTTTAACTACTCTTTGATTAATATAAATTTTATACGAAATCCTTGCTTGTTATTTTCCCAAAGAAAAGATGCAGTTAACCACAACAAATGAGCGTATGCGGTAACCGGGCTAGAATGTGGGCAAGTGATTAGAACGGAAGTTCTTGTGATGTAACACAAAAAATAGAAACTTATCTGACATGTATTAAAACAATATGCCAGCTTATTATCATGCTTTCTTTCATCTTCAGCTAAAGTAACTTTTCTCAACAATGAATGGCTGAAATTAACAAGATACCTTGAACATGGACGACAACGAACCAACAAGACAGGTATAAAAATAGAAATTCTATATTTTCGATTGAATCATCCGTGACAAAGGGCCTCGCATTTACAGATTTGCCTCGAATACAAAGGAGGAAAACCACCAACTAGAAGTCTCAGCCAGCCTCAATTATTCCCCATAATCCCTTTTTTCTTCTCGCATCAGCTGCCATATCTTCGTTTTCTGTATCTTGCATTTCAACATACAAACTATCGAACCATTCACAAGATCTGCGCCAGAGCATGAGAGAATTGGTCCCAATTTGCACAGAAGTCAGTCTTGAATCTTGTCAGATTCTGTGAGAATCTGTCCCTATTCTTTGAATCCAAGCTCGGCGTCACATCACTCATAAGTTTCTCAAAGCACAATGAGAGTCGCTCATGTTGTTCTGGCCGCTGCATAATAATTTCCAAACATTAAGATCTGAAAACCTTGAAATTACTGCTTCCTTATATGGCAAGTAGAACCTCTACCAAACTGACTGGAGGCTAGGACCCTTTAGATACAGATTATCTTGAAAAGGTCTATTGGTCGGATATCTATTAGGCAGTGAGGTTTAGGGAGGGTTTAAGAAATTAGTACGTATGTGTACGTGGAGAGCCTACAACTCTTGAATGGCTAGAGTTGGTGTCTTTACTGCTATTTCTTTTTTATTCCCTCGTTAGATTTACACTCCACCAGAGTATAACTAATTTGAATGGGCAGGGTTCCATCACGCTTGAACCAATTATTCTAAAGAATTTGCATGACCAGTCAACAAGATTACGGTAATGGCTTTAATACCGTCAATTCACTTTAACACCTGCACTAAGATCGTGATTCTCTGCACTAACATATACATTTAAGAGAGCGGCTAAAAACGTGCAGAAGAACCACTTCCTCTCTTTCTATCTACCCTACATATAATTTCTATTTGTTTCCAAATATCGAGAATCCAGATCTACAGAAGACAACTTAATAATGCTTTCCACGCCTACAATTAAAATCTTGGTCACCTTAGTAATTTAGTATGTAAATACGCAGGAACTTTGCTTCTTAATGTAACTTGTCGCAGTAGCGAAGAGTCAACCGCTGAATTCCTAATATAGTTGCTAAGACTAGAATTAAATATAGTGATTTCTCAAATTACTATGGGGCACCCTCTGGCCAGCACCAAACTGACAATTTTATGCTACAGATTATTATGCATTGTTCAGTTCCAGTACTTGGATTCAGTTAAAAGTATTAGATGGGACAAGCTGTCAGTGAAAAAAAAAAAAAACAAATGATAACAAGAATGATCAACTAGACATATGCCGGGCCATAAAAAATGTTGATCCAGAATACCAATTAGGGAGGGATCATGAGCCTGATAAATATAAGCAATCATGTATTCCAAGCAAGAATGAGGCACAGATAAACAGCATTTAACTTACATATGAAGCCAAAATTTGTGCCTTGATACTTGTGAACATCTGCAGGCAAAATGGCAAGTCAATATTATAGCATACACTCATTAATGTTTACAAGGTGAAGCATCAAAACTATCGTGAAGAGGATGGGTAACAGATATGATGAAAACTGGGAAGACTATAGAAAATTACACTTACCTACAGAGTTCCATCGTGTTGATATAATATATTCATGATAATTACATCAATCCCAAATATCGAGCCAAAAGCATCACACTCAAATTTCACAAGCAACACAAATGAAAGGTTGGTGTTGTTGATCATTTAATTGCACCATATTTCTACTCCATAATTTTTCCTAGAAGCATTCTTCACCTAACAGGCCTTGTCCATTTTCCTCATCCGAGGAAAGTAAAACTGGAAGTAATATAAACTTGAGGGCATTTATGCGAACTCATTAAATTAATTAAATCTTCAAAAATGTGTCAGAAACCTCTCTTTATTTTTTTTACCTTCTTGAAGAGGATATCTTATTATCGTTCATTGTATGTTTCCCTTTAGAATTTTATAGTCATAGTATGGCCAAGAATTTTCTTAAATTCTTTACAGTTTACATCTCCATTAAAGCATGGTGTTATCATATCAAATAAACGCATTCTTTTCAGAGATTCATCATACCAATGCCATTGAACAACAATGTTAAAAAGTCACCAGAACAAAGGCTCCAATTTGTACTTCAGTTCCCTATCTTTGAATTACCAATGTTCAAAGTCTACGTTAGCAATTCATATTTTCAATAGCAATATCACAACAAAACTGTGAGCTTGAGTTCATGAAACAAACTACGACGTGATATTTGAAGCCAGTTATCACAATCATTTACCTCCTCACTAATAAGTATTAAGCTCAGCATTGCTCTGCTAAGACCCCACTGATTGCCACGGTCTTCCAACAAAACAATCTCAAATAAGGTTTTCAATATCTAAGAAGAAAATTCCAAGAAAAATTAGAACCGCCACAAAGCAAGAAAAATTAAGATGGAACTGAGTCAAATTAGAAAGAACACGGATATGAATGCAATCATCTAACTTCTATGCCTCTAACTTACTGAGTAGGCCGAAAACAAAAATGGAATTTATACTTGGCTCTGACAACTATTTGCATCAACAACAATAACTACTGAATGTAAAAGAGAAGAGGGGAAAAGGATCCTAGAAGCCAAAGGACTTACAATCGTAGCATGAATTATGATTTATTACTGTCAAGCATGATTTTCTATTATTATACTTGCATGGTTCAGTGAAGATATAGATGCATCAAATTATTATAGCTCCCTTCTAGACCTCATTCACATTGCTGCTGGTATTTGGGTCCGGGTAGAATCATTGAGACATTATTTGGGGAAGGCAAAAGAACCCAATATATCAACAAAAGATGCTCTAAAATACTATTTACATTACAACATGATAAAAAAAATAATACTTAAATTTAATTTTAGATGGTTCCCTCACAAACAATCTTTTCATCGATAAAACTAACACACATAAATTGCTGTGTCCAGTTATCGTATGATTTATTCACAAATGACCAGTTGTTATGCAATATGGATGAAGAAAAGGTATTAATTATGTATAAACCTAAATCATTTCCGTACTTATCTGTGATCATTTTTTCATTCACATCATATAACTGTCAAGCTGGCTTGCCCTACTTTTCACAGTGCAAACCAAAAGTGAACAATGCATCTTGGCAGCAGCCCAAGATAAACTTACTCCAGAGAATAAAGCAGAGCAGTCAGAGACTAGTTGAGCTATATTCAACGCAGCTGGTGACACAATTGACTCTGCGACAGTAATATGCATGAAATAAAATGTAGCCAAGTGGTCGATAGCAGAGGCACACTGCAAACACAGAAGACAATTACAGAACAAATAGGTAAATCAGATAACATGCTGACTTAGCCATGGTTGTTTCTCAGTTGACAAGCACATGACGATGGAAATTTTATTCATGGATCAAAGATTTGCTTCTAATAATTTAACGAAGGCCAGAGGGGTTGGCAAAAAAATGTGAAAGCTTAACTGCAAGAGTTACAAAAAAATGGTGCTTCTACCAACCTGTGATGATATATTCTCATTTAAATCTTTAAGGCCTGATTCGAGAGATCCAACGATATGCATAAATGTGGACTTATCCAAACTCAAAACAAATGATAAATGACTGCTGAAGAGGGTTTCCAAGAATGCAAAGTAAGCAGTTGTGAGCTGGGAAAGAAGAGACAATAAATGAATTCTTAAAATACAGACATAATTTAAATAACAATGAATGCGAGTTAGGATGCTACTAAATCTTGTGATAAGTGCATTAAAGAGATATATACATACAATCGCACACATACATATTGTCGGTGATTGATTTGTTATTTGTGATGTTATGATCGGGTATCACTTGATACTTTTAAAGTTAAACCAATTTAACTGGTAACATATATTCTTAGAACTTCATAGGTGAAAGATCTAACATAACAAAATCTAATCTCATCTTCTTGTATAAAATGAGTGCTGATTGCTGATTGGGTCTTTCCTAACGGAAGGTTTATGATATTGCAGTGTGATACTGTGTATCACACTAACCAAAACCAGTGTGATAAAGTTAACAGGTAATATACACAAACTAAACTGCAATATCACAAGTTCAAGCAGGCAGAGACATAAACAGGGACCAAAACCAAAAAGGACAAGGGACAAATGCCACCTCAGGTAGGGAATTTTTGGAAAAATATGTACATAAGCATATATGTCTGTATGCATGTATATAAGAAAATTAAATTTTGTTATAATTTGTTATATTAGATCTTTTATATATGAACCACACAGGCTAGCTCATCTAGAAAGGAAGGGATCTGGTATGAATAGTGGCCAAGGATTCAAACCCTCCTGATATAATAGAAAGAAAGAAACGGCTAGAAAATCTCGTCCCCAATCACTTGACAAGTATTATTCTACAAAAAGAACCTTACAAAGGTTTTGGAAATTGGCACTGATGTTGATTTGGTAAGATCAAGAGCTAGCAACAGTACTTTTGCATGGTAGAGTTCCCTAGTGTGGAAAAAGGTTGTGATGATTAGAAGCGCAGAAATTAAGTTCCAAGAGCCTGCCCTTGGAATTTGTGAAGAAACATGATCATGGGAGACCTCAAGTAACCTCTCTATGATCCCGTGAATGTTTATGGTAATAATCTGGCCATAATTGGGATTGATTAAATCCCAATATATCTTAACCAAAAAATAAAACAGATAGACTAAAACTTCATCAAAGAAAAATTTAAGTCACAAATTATGGAGCTGTTGTCTCAAGCAGCAGCCTTGCTAAAGCATGGTGAATATATTCATATCCAACCTTGAGAGCGTTCAAATAGCTGTCATTTTTAGTGTCCTATTACTTTTTGTTTATATATATGCTCTGTGTTTTTTTTTTTAAATACTCTTTCCAATGGTGTATTTCAAACAGTTTCCTTCTTCCTCTACCTGCTGTTATGTTTAAGGAAGTTTGAAGGAGAGGTGTATTTTTTTTTTTTGGGGGGTGATGGAGTTAATTTTCCCTACCCATGCCTCCGAAATTGGACAATTTGAGCCAATTTATACATGTAGTAAATTATACTAATCTTTTTATTTCCAAAATTACCCTCAGTATCTCTCAATTTCAGTTGCGCCTTCATATCGCTCTTCCACCATTCCTGCCCTGCTTCTTCATTCTGCATCAAGTGAGCAACAAGGTCTGCACTCTCTAGTACGTCACATCATCACTGTTGCTTCTTCAAGTATTATGAAAATGGTCGAGTTCCTTTAATCTACCTTCCTGAGCAGTGATCATCTTAATATTTTTTACAATTCTCTAAACATTTTTGCTAGCATGAGGCAGCACTTGAACACTTCCTTCTCTGTATGCTGTTAATTCATGGCTCGTACTTTATATTTTGTAATGCAAGCCCCTTGAGGAATGAAGAAAAAATTTTGATTCTCTAATTGGCCCCATGCGCTGAAATCACATGGCATTTAGAAAGGGAGGACAGAACAAAACAATAAAATTATTATTTCCCCTCTCCTCTCCTTCCAAACCAAACAAAGGACATTCAATTCCCTCACCTTCCCTTCCCTCCCCTCTAACTAAACCAAACAAAAAAAATCCTCCCCAACCACTCCCCCAAAAAAATTAAAAATAAAATAAAATCCTTCCCCTCCGTTAAACCAAACGAACCTTTAGTCCATAGGTGAGTTTTACCTCTGCATTTTTTGCCATTTTGAAAGGCTGGATTGCTGCCTTCAAAGACTTGTATATTTGCATTACATTACCTTTTGACAGCAGAAACCAATGAAATAAGATCCGTAGAATTAGATTATCTTCTTCCCTTCAAATTTTCATAATCTTTTGTTTTATTTTGATAGCAAGATTTCCCAAAAAATTGGGACGGAGGGATGAAGATTTAGGTCTTCCTCCTTCTTCTCACATACTCTTTTGCATCACCAATAAGCTAAAGATCAAAGGACATAGTGCCCTGGTCATTCCTTCGAAATTTTACAATTTTAGCAAGGCTAATTGTTAATAATAAACAGAGACGCTAATTTGTGCATAAAAAAAGGATAAGGAAACTATCATGTTCCCTATTCTAACATCATGTAACAAGCAACTCGGAGCTCCATGTTGCAGCCAAAATAAGTCACCTCTTCACCCCAAATGTAGCCAAAATATTCCAATGCCTTAAACGTTAATGAATGTAAATTTTACTTTAGAAATAAACCATACTCCATAAACAATAGAAAATTCCTCTGAACAAAACGATTAAACAATTCATAACCTTAACCCAGTTTTTTTTTATTAAAAAAAAAAGGCTATCAAAGCAACAGTTGCTAATATGCAATCAACCAAACTGTAAAAAAGTGGCAAACTGAACTCAAACATGATAATCTAACCATCGCTAGAAAGTTAAAAAATAAATCAATAAACATTAGTATTAACAAAATAGAAACAGCCAAAATTGCACGATTTATTTCAACAAAATCTTAAAAAAATTTGTGGTAAATCTTCAAAAGTTCAAATGCAACAATAAATTTCAAAACACCAAAGAGGCAAAGTAAATCTCAAGCTATGAGTAATACCTTTCGAAATGCAAATACATCAGCCAAAGGAATGGATAATATCATCTTTACAATGATATCTAGAGCATCCACTAACGCTCTATCACCATAAAGCTCAAAAACACCAAAGTTGACATAGTTCCCAGATAGTGCTGGCATGCAAAGAAAAAAAGTTAAGCCCAGAGTTGATGTGAAAATGAATATAATTATAAACAAAGGAAAACTAATCATTTGGTCCCTATAGCTTTTACCAACTCAATTTCTAAACTTTGATTTGACGCAAGTCAGCTCCTAAACTGACTCTTGTAATTCAGTTCCTGTAGTTTCCTATATTTAAAATATTCTCTCTGCATTTTAGAAAATAAAATTATAAAAAATAATGTTATTAATAAAGCTTAGGGACATGTTTAAAATGGCTAAGACTATAAGGACCAAGTTGCACTAAGTCAAACTATAGGGACAAAGTTACAATCAAGTCAAAAGTATAGAGATCCAATGATTAACTTTCCCTTATAACCAATGATCACTAAATTGTCTTTCTTTCTTTCTTCTTCTTCTTCTTTTTTTTTTGAAAGGAAAATAGGTGGTTAAGTAATATCATAAAGAATGCTGCAGGATGATAATCAACAATTTTAAAACCTGCTCACGGAATACATAAAACATGCTGAAAAGTACCAGAGACTTGCAAGATTTCATGCATTACAAGACACGTTTAAATTACTTGTTGTGGAGAAAATAATGCAAGGATCTACACTAACAATTACCTTTGCCACATTCTCACCCTCAAGAATAACAATAAGAACAACAAAACTAATCAGCCCTCTCAGTTACAAGGATCACATGACATTGTTGTTCTTTATCGTCAACTAACTCTTCAAATGTAAAAAAAATAAGATTGAAAGAGGAAAAAATATACATTTGGATAATATGAAAATGTTGGCAAAGTATGATCATACCTCTTGTGAGAATTGACAAACAAATTGATATCCCCTTGTATTTAAATGTATACATATCCGCTCTATTAGGAAGAGGTAATATTCTTGACCCATAGGCCACAATCAGTTTACTGACTTCACGGAAAAGCAGTATACCATTTGGGGAAGATGAATCAAAGATCAATCGCTGTGATTTGTTCAGGACTAATTCATCCACAAATTTCAACACCGGAGTTGTTACCTGCATTGCTTGATTTTATCAGAAAGTATACCAGTATGATAATAATTTTTTTTAATTACAGGCAAATTTTATACAAGCCTATAGCAGCAATGTGTTAAATTGAAAACATATATAATATTAGCTAAAATGTGTTCATGTTTATTTTGTGTATTAGACATTGAAGAGTTTTAGTTCATATTTTGCTTTCTTACAATGACACTCAGCCAATATTTAATAATATATGGTTGCAGCCATATAAAATTTCAACTTGAAGGAGCTGGCCATTCTCTTAAACGGCAACTTGATAAATGCTTTGCAGCATTAGCATGGTTCACCAAGCCTTTTATGCAATGGCACATATCTTGGATTTTCTGAATATTCTCATTGTTTTTTCTTTCTTGTTAACTTTAGTCCTTCATAGTGCACATCCCAACAAATAAAGAGGAATTTCATCCCGTCTCCTTCCCCTCAAGATCCAGAATAGAATCATCAGAGGAAGAATTTCATCTTGGATCCAGCAGCCTATCATATACAAAGAAAAATGAATAGACCAAGAATGATTCCATGCGGTATTCAAATAGAATTAGATGTTCGTTAGCAGAGAAATTACTGCAAAGAAAAAATGCAGGGGGCAGTCTCAATCCTTAATCCATGTAATGAAATTCAGTGATCGCTCAATAAAATGCATTAAAAAGGATGAATCTTACCTCCGGAGAATCAGCCCAATGCAAAATGCCTTTCAAAAGAATAGACATGCGTGCTGGATAGAGCCAATCAAAAAGGAAGCCATACATCCTACGACTGCAACAGACAATTCAAATACAGACAGAATATAAATACAGGCAACTAAGGGGAAAATAATATGAAAGATCCAAGATGTAATAACACAACAAAATCTTCACCAAATAAAACAAAGATTCAGGTGTTAAATGACTATCAACCTGTTAGTTGCCATTGCTATTCCTCGAAGGTCCCGCATTAATCCAATCAAAGCAAATTTTCCAGCATCTGATCGGAAAATTGCATCAGGCGCTGATTCCAACTTAAGAAAAACCTTGTACATGACAACTATTAATTAGAATGAAATTTAACCAAATAGATGAATGAGTATTAAAATGTCAATTATCTCACAAATCACATGTTTTGTCATCATACTTCAAATTTTTTAAAACAATTACACGCCAAGATATGAAGGTGCAACATTTATCACTTGTCACATAAGGTCATCTGAAGCATTTTATCACCAATTAACAAACTATGGATAGAAGAAAAGGTCAAACTCAAATAGAGAAATTAGAAAGTACATGAATGATAGAGTCCCACAAACCCCAAGATTCCTTAATCACATACAACTTGTGATTTATTTGAATTTGCATTGTATTTGAAGATTCTCCTTGATCTATTGAAGTCATTAGTGTTTTCAGATTCTGGCATTACTATCTCCAGTAGAATTTCCCTCTATTTCTCTTCCTAAACCCAGATCTTATCAATGAAACCTGTTAGCAGTTGATTCACAGTTGGTAAAGGGCACAATTGCATCATGCTCCATGTAGTCGAGCCCACTTAGTGGAATAAGCTTGTTGTTGTTATAATAATCAGAATTGATGAGCATCTTCTCAAAATATTAAACCATATTACTCAGCAAGTCTTAACAGGAAGTTTTTTCTTTTGGGTAAATGAACATGAATCTTTTACCTATGAGAAAACATCATAAATCTGGTTTTCCGGTTTGGGAGGAGGGGGTGAGAGAAGCCACACTCTCCAACTAAAAGCACAGGCCAATATTGAATTTGATCTATCATATCAGATTCAGAAATCAAAGGAACGCGCAGCAGGATCACTTTAGTCAACATGAAAATCGTTGAGTTATTTGACTCTTGGGTATGTGATCCAATAGGCTTGGTATTCAGGATCCCTTACATATCACTTAAGCAATATTAATAATTATCGCTCCACATTAGGAGCTGAAAACAACTTTCCTAGTTCAATCATTCCGCCCTTTCATCAAAAATAAACAATTTCTATAACTTGAATTAGGATGGCAAACAAAAACAACCAACCTGCAGAAGATGTTCCATTGAAGACCTAAATTTCAGGGGGCTATCTTCCATGAACACTAACATGCCAAGTGTGTAGTAAAACATTGTTCTGCTGCGGAAACATTCTACATTTTCTAAAAATGGGAATTGCTCCCCCTGAAAAAGGAAAGATGAATTGTGCTTTGGTGATCTGAATCTGAAAGCAAATTACACACACATTTATATACATGAAATCAATTTCTCTCAGATCAGTTACAATCCTTGTACAAATTCCACTTGGGCCATGCACTTCCAAATTAAAGCAGGGTTCATTCCAAGCTTCTAAATCTCTTAGCAATTTAACCCATCAAAAACCGTAGCACCTTTCCAGGCTTCAAACCATGTGGGAGATATTTTTTAGATAGATTTCTATTCAGATATACAGAAGGATATTTACGCTTTTATATTTTTGTGCTTCATTTTTTTCAACCTAGCCCGGAAGGATCTTCAGCTCCCATTCGCTTGTTCCAGTTCAGTGTGTTCACCAAAGTTTCATCTTCAGTAAGTAAAACAAAATACAAATGTCCTACATCTTTGCAGGTGCCAAATAACAAATCATATTCATTCTCCTTTGACTATAATTTCTCTCTCTTATCTGAAGTTCAAGTTCAACAATAATTTCAACCAAAGCAATAACAGCATATGCCTGAGCACATCAAAAAGATGCATCTTCTTCATCATTGAAATTTATTATTACTTCTTTTGTTGATCATGTCCTATGTGAAAACCATCCTCGATGCTGCAATGTCCAACAAAGACATATAATGCGAGTTTAGACACTGATAGTATAATATGTCAATGGAGAATGGTTGTCACCAGGTAGGGAACAAAATTTTATGTTAAAAATCTGGTGCTGGTGAAGTTGATACAGATTGTCTCTTAACCCATTCAACACAGTTGGGTTGATGATGGCTGGGCAAGATATCTAGAACATCATCCATGAACCAACCTTGAGGTCAGATGCTTAACAACTCATCTTAGGAAGTGTAGTTAGAGAGGAGATGGACCAGCAAGTATTGGCTAACATATAAGAGATGGATAGCCTTACTACAACTAGCTTGGGCTGGGCCATGAAGTTGAGCATCTCCAACTTGCTAGGGTAGTAACTACACGGTTCTTTACCGAAAGTGCTTCCAAAAATAAATGGAATAGATGATACTTACAATCTGGTTTGATATTATGCGTTGAACTGTCTCCAACTTAAGAAGCAGCTTTCCTGTCATAAACCTAGAAAGGATACAAGATATGAAATGGTACGAAACAAGGAGGGGCAATATGATACTATAAGGAAGTTGAGATGGAACACGACTAACCCAGATGTCATTTCTGAAAAGAGGCTTAAAGTGTGATCAACAACCTCTTTGCACTGGAAAGAGATCCTAATGTTAATGAATGAATTATACTTGAAATGCAAGGAAATATACAATATATAATTATTCATCACCTCTTTGTAAGATTTAAGATTAGTAGCAATCTTTCCCACAATAACATTCAGTAGTAGTAGATGATCATGGAGTCCTAGAAGTTCAGATAATCGGGCATATAACTGCTATGGAGTCCAAAGAAGGAAATGGCAATAATTAAACCTTCTCAAAATCATAAAAAAATTTAAAAGTAATATACATCTATGCTGCTACCTTGGAAGGAAGAACAGCATGGTCACCAATATAACACTTTCTAAGATGTTGTAAGAAGGTTAGTATAGCTCGATCAAGTCTTTGCTTGCTAATATCTCCATACCTCTGAAAATATCCAACAGAACCATGGATGCAGTGCATTGACAAGAAAAATAATGAACAGGACTGAAGTTTAGCCGCCGAACATATAGGGGAAAAAAAGAACTTTAGCATGTTCACTGAGGAAGGATGAATCTGCACATGACACACATCAGGAAAAAGCTATTGGACTTACAACATGCTAGTGTTTAATTTTTTAACTATTGTTGTCAAAAAGGATTTGATCTTTAGAAAGGAGCGTTACAGTTCCAAATTGGCTTGTCAACAAGAAACAGTTCCATTCTACTAAAAATGGGATTTACAAGAAAAAAAACCAAAAGATTACGATTCCAAAGTCCTAAAGATGCCAAATACACCTCTATCCCCTAAAAGCAACTGGAGGCAAGGCATAGTAAATCCAGCATCACACTATAACCAGATAATCTAAATAGCAGCAGCCAAAGCTCATAACAACTTTGCCCTTCAACAACAAGCCTTATCGCACTAAGTGGGGGAATTTTGCCCTACACTTTAGACTAATTCCAAAAACTCAAATGGGAAACACCTTGGGCATACAGAAAATGTCACGAAGCCTTTGCACCCAAACCTCATCAAACCCAATCACATTAGTGCACAAAAAAGGAAATTAATCAAATGGCACTATTCACTTCAAATCAACTCCACAAAGAAACAACCTAAGTATCTCATATCTTAAGTCTTTAAATGAATTCAATCATATACACCCCCATATCATATATATCCTTTAAAACAACCAAATTTAGTAGAATGTCAGAAACTGATGTGGGAAAAAAACTCAATTTAAATATCTTGGGCCCATATTTTCAGCAACTATAATAACTTCTGCATCAATTACTGTTCTAACTATAACTAAGCTGTGATAAAGGTTATTATACTTTATAACATGGAGTTAAAAGATATCACACAATAATGGTTGAAGCTGAGAAATGGAATGTGGGGAATTACTCCAAATTGAAAGCATTAAATATGCAATTCAAAAACAGGAGCGCATTATATTGCGCTCAGATAGGTTTTAAACGATCAAGAGAGTTATTTGGTCCGAGATAAAATTGACAGATTCCATTAGACCCAACCTACAAACATGAAGATCTTGTGATAGAATCTACACAAGCATTTTGCAGAAAATTTATATATGAAAAACTCTTTACCACAGGGCAGACTAAGTTACCCGCCAATTTTGCAGACAAAATCCAAAAAATATTCACATACCCTACTGTGTAATCCACTGTCAGTGATATTAATCAACTGCAGAACACGTGCTGAAATCTCTGCATCAAGTATCTCATGTGATTCTCCACTGCAATTTAGAAACAAAAAGGAAAAAAGAGCTATTACTGTCCAGAAATGCTTACTCAACCCAATTTGTTTTAACAATTACCTAAAACCAGAAATTTGTTTAATCTTCAGAATTGCAGCAACTATGTGAGTGAACCAAGCAAGTTTGGCTTCTGTTACAGATATTTCATAGTTGTCTACAGAGATTTGGGCATTAGCTTCATTCTGCATAAATTAAATCAAGATAGAAGTACAGTCAGATTATTTTTAAGAGAATTACACATAAAGTTGACACGTCCAAAAGAATGCTAGAGAATACCATATAGCTGTCTATGATAGGTTCCACAATCTTCATCAAATATGAACTGCAACTTTCATACTGGAAAGTCATAGAGATGTTAACATGATCAATAGAAAAGAAATGACTGCATATATGATATTTAAATTTTAAGCACATAAGCTTGAAGCACCTGATATCTGCAGAGGTAAGGAAAGAAATCAAGCTGATCCTGAAGCACCTCCACATTGTCCAGGGGATCTTCACCAAGTTCATCAGACTGTTCAGACTGCAGTAAAAGGTTATAAAGGGTATATGCACATAATTCACTAATGTAAGGCATGATTGCAACTAGAATTGACTCCACCTGACCTGCAATGAATCAAATCTTGAAGTAACAAAACCTTCTATGATTTTAGGCACATATTCATCCAGCAAGATGGGTTTGTCACTCTTCAGATACTTCACAGATGTTACTGATCTAGACCACAAACCTAGAAGGTAGTAAACACTGCTGCCAGCCCACTGAAATAAGAAACATTATCACACAAAAGAAAAGAAAATGAGACAACAATATATATACATATACAAATCAGCTTCAAGACTATCTAATCCCCAGTCATATCTGCAAATAAATATTCCTAAATTCCCTTAAAAAACATTCAACTATGATTTCTTAGAAGAAAATATCAAGTAGTCTACCTTCCAAGAATGCAAAGATTTCAATGTGAACTCCGCCACTAATCGTATCCAATCACTGTAGCCTTCAGCATTCACAAGTTCCGATAACTGCATTATTCTTAGAAGAGCCACATGAGATTGCCTTCACTATTAAATAAAATCACCACTAGTATGCCTATGACTTAAGTTAACTGCGCAGCATAACATGAACCAAACCTACTGCAACAAAGAGGACAGGAAGTAAAAAGAGAACAAGATTGTCATCAATCAACTATACCTGTCATCACGTTATATTTCCAAATTGATGTGACACAGAAGTGAAGATGGGTTAGCTAGCAAATGCGACAAGCCAAGATTTTATGAATTTCATTAATGATACAAGTAAGATCAAATGTGTCACGTGAACTTCATGAAATTAACAACATATGATTCTTTGACAGAACTTCCCATTTCCATATGAATATGTCTACTATTAATTTCTAAACCTAATCTTTTGTATGTTTAACCAAACTACATGTATAACTAAAAGCTGCCGGCAACCATGAAGTTCAACTTAATCATTGAGAATGAAAATGAGAGACCTTTAATTCAAACAGAAGGTATAATGGGGCAAATAAATAAATTATTAACACAAATAATACAAGAAAATTTTTTTACAGAACCTAAAAGAAGGTAAGATTCACCTGATAATTCACTTTAAAGCGACCAAGAAGACGACAAAATGCATGGTAGTTATCATGCTCTGCAAGACCTGCTTTACCATTAAATTGTATTATCAATGCCTTTTTAAGTAACAATGATATACGGTATGTAGCTGCTAGATATTTGATATCCAACTGATTTGAGAAAACAGAACTCAGAAAGAGCTTCATGTCAACTTCAATGAGCACTAACATATTCTTAATAGTCTTGTCTGCAGAGTTTGATAAGAATGTTATATATGGTGGGAATGATAAGGGGGACATTTGAAATTTTCATTTAATGATCTTGATAAAAATTTACCATGATGGCACAGGTAGGAGACCACACTTTGTCACAGATATACAACAAAAATGCTCTAAGAGTGGTCAAACAAAAAAATTAATGAAGTTTTCTATACCTTAGAGAAGTAAGAAAACTTGGAAGCAGTACAAAAACTACAAGTAGAAAGTCATTGTATAGTAGATATATGCAGTTCATTTAAAATAGGTTGTAAACTGTTTATGAAAACTCAATAACCATACAGTTGAAACCAGCTTATCTTCTGAAGGATCTCACTCTTTTTTTCTCAAAACATAAAATTTGAGTCCAAAATCTTCTCATAATCGGGAGCCCATGCATGATTACAGGATAAAAAATGGAAGTTATGAAACATAGGCCTAGAGATGTCAATGAATAAAAGGAAACATGAAAATTGGAAGTGAACATATTACATTGTAAATTCGAAGGTACAAACAACTATAAAAGTTAGAAAATATCAACTAAAAAATTTTAGTATCCTTAACCTAGGCAAAGGATAATATGAATTGACTGATACATGTCACAATCATTAAAAAGGACTGCATCATTCATGTTCCTATCAAGATTGAAAATAGTAAACATGATGAGCCAATCAAGAATCAACAGAGATACAACAACCAGTTAAAGCTCAACACACATGTACTTTTAAGCAGAAAATTACCACTAAGCTAGAGCGAAAAAAGAAATAGTCACTTAACCTATCCCTGTTTGCAATATTTCCTTGGTTCCCTGCATTAACTGTGACAAAAACTTTAGTCGAGCAGCATCACTGGCAAACACAGATCGCCTTGCAGAAGCCAATCGCAACAGGCACTCCAATGCCTTAAAAAATTATAGCTCATAAGGTGATGATAATACCATAACTTGAAGATAAAATTAGGAAAGATTCCCAAAAAGAATTTATCAAGAGTAAGAGAATCAACCATAAATTTGCTTTTCATGATGTTAGAATAATAAGCTAACACGTTATGATTTGAAGATATTTTCAACATCATCATGAAAGAACAAAAAACAAAGAACCCCAGTTAAGATAATGATAGGAGCTCAAATGCAGAGATGTAAAGGTTCAGACTGATTATAAAATGACTTAACGGAGATAGCTCTCAAGATCAAAATCTGAACTACCATGCTACGAGTATGAGATGAAAACACCAGTAACATTATAAAATTTATAATAGCTAGAACTTATAAAATAGTATTATTCATATGAACTTTCATATTATATCCATTCATTAAAATGCTTCAAGAAATTAAGACAACTTGAAAGGAAAATTCTAGCATATGCTAACTAGATTTTTCAAAAACAACAAAGGCCAAATCATATAACATCTATGAGATGGCAGTGATAGAACAAACATCAATAATTTTCAATGTGAATTTGGAATCACAATATGCTACGGTTAGTCAATACCAGTCTCCATACATGCATTTACGACTTTAGAATACAGAGTCAACTCTTTTTGCCAGGAGAAAGATGGCTAAGGCTTAAACAAAGGCTTTCAAAATGAAAATAAGAGCCAGACATGACTTTGAAAAACCCATAAAAAAAACATTTGTAAATGAAATTTTAACGCAGAAGCACACTGAGAGCCACTCCTCATAATGAAGTACAGGAGATGCACAAGGGGAGGAAGCAACTTAGAAAAGGCTACAACCATTGATCACGAAGAAAGGATATGATAAGGTTCATAACAGAAACAGGGGTAAGGAAGGGGAGAAGATGAAGGTTTGGCGTAGCAAAGGGAATGGGCAGTGTTTGGGAGAAGTTGGAAGTTTTTTTTAATTAAAAAAAATCTAGCTCCAGCACGGAGGGAGATCAGACCTTTTTTTTTCCCCTGGAAGAAGTCTCAACAAGGGAGAGTAATGGAGCCTCTGGAGTGCCAGCTCACTACTCTATGCTATTTTGATTTAACCACCTCGTATCTCTGGGTTGTGTTCTGGCCTCTCAGTGTAAGAAAGGTGCTGGGTTTTGGCTGAAATCAGCCAATGATCCCCAGATGTGCTTCCTTTACACTAACTGTTTACTTCCAATTACTTAATTGCGGAGAGCTTAAGTTAAAAACCTCACACGGCTCCTAACACAATTGTTTTTCAAATATATTTGGAGAGTGTTCTTGTAAAAGTCGTGTTTATTTCAAGAAAACTAGAATGCATGCTTCAACAAGCAGTATTGACTCCTTATTTGAAAATTGGAATGATAAGGAAAACAAAACCTCATGAATGGGATATGAATGAGTCAGAGGCAGAAAATTAATATACGATTAAGGACAAGGAAATGATATTAGCCATGCGTTTCCAAAAAAATATATCATGTTGTAAATGCATAAACCAGCTTAATAGATATAATCATGACCAAGCATATTTAAAAAGTAAAACAAATTGAACTTGTAGTAGAAGAAATGAGTGAAGGAACAGAATGAAATTCACATGATCCTCAACCTCCTGATTCAACCTAATAAGCAACACTAGCATGCCATACGGTATCAATGAAAATAAACAACATAGAGATTGGGCTGACAAGAATCATTACTGATATTCTATCAAAAAATTCTTCAGAAAATCATTTTATCAAGTGTAAAAATTTTAAAAAAAAAAAGAAGGACCAAGAGTAAACCAAATTGACGAAGATTTTTCACCACCTATTAAACCAATCCAGGTCAAAAAAACCACTGCATCAAAATAAAATATACATTGAAGGATACTTGAGAGCGTTGAATTTCCCATCTATGGAACCATACCTCCTTTGAAAATGGTTGATTCATTGCATAATATCAAAAAAGATTTGCAGTGTTGAGGAATCCTCAAGGACTGGCTTCCAAGAAGTTGGAACCTGCACCGTCAAATCTAATTTTGAAAACAAGAACCCTATAAAAAATTTAAATATATATAATATATATTGATGAGTTCAACCGGTAAGCAGGTTTAGCACAGGAATATACCTGAACTGTGCCAATCTCATCCGAACTTTCATCATAGGATGTCCCCATAAAATCAAATGATAAGCACCGAAGAGAAAGCAAAAGAGATAATTCTTGCAACTTGCTTCCAACTAAAAGTTGTGCCAACAAAAAAAAAAAAACGGTTTACTAAGTGACCTTATTCAAGATTTCTAAAGTGAACAACACATTGGTACACACATATTCACATGGCCATAAGTTTAGCATACCATCATTTTTGAGTTGGATAAGAGAAGTTAATGATATCTGGAACATCTGAAAGAGTGATTGATCCTTGAAAGAGCTAGCTATCCTACGCTGACGAGTAGGAGGTATCCGAGGAATAGGCTGAAAATGGAAACGAATAAAATAGATGACAAGATCATCAGAAGCCTAAAAGGAAATGAAGTTTTGGGATAAAACAAATATTAATTCAGTTGCCAAAGTAGCAATTGAATTGTAGACCTTAGTCAAGAGCTCAAAATAGGTATTGAACGTAAACATTGAGAGACACTATGAAAACTATTTACAATTTTACTTAAGTAGAGGGACTATAAACACTATTTACATTGTTACTTAAGTAAGAAGATGGAGAAGACTGCAACCAATGCACAACTAAACAATTACCTAAACAATAGATGGATGGATGGATGGATAGACAATACATAAGAAGAGTTCTATGAAGCAAAATCGAATTACAGAGTATGAACACCATTCCTCACAGTAAACCAAAATATAAAAAAGCAGACATCTAAAGTAAGTTTTTTAATTATGGAAATCAAAAACTGCAAAAAGATAGCATACTGGTTTAGCATCAACATGAAATAACTTCTCTGATGATACATAAAATGCTAACATACGAACCTGATTTATCTCAGAAATGAGCTGGTCCAAAATCTTCAAACCAATAGCACAATGAGGTGGTGCCTGCTGACACAGCTTGAGCATGTGATTCCGATATAAATACTAGGAAAATACAAATAAGAAACACCAAAACTAAAAATAAACCAAAACATTGGATAGCATTAGCACTACATTCCAAATCTAAGCCATTATAGGACAGCAACTAGAAAAAAGATGTATTTTACTGAATAACCAGAGTATGACATCATACTATATGAAATTCGGGCTGCTAAACATCCAAGACATCTAGGATAGGAAATGAAAAATACCAAGACGATAAAATAGCTGCAAGAAATACAAAGTATCACATGTTGACAGGCATGTGTCTATGTTCTAGAAACATATTGTATCACCTGACTTAGGAAATTCATCCCTTCTTTAACAACCTCTTTGAATCTGTCATCCTCTAGCCACCCAAACTTTGTAATGCGACAGAAGAGTTGTATCAAGGATCCAAGCACAAAGGGTTCCAAATCAGCTCCTCTTCTGGCCAGATAGTTTATAAGATAATTTCCTTCACAGAAAGCACAATTTGGTCAATTTTTGGGACAAAAACTGTTGAAATAAGAAAAATAATAAGAAAAAAAAAGTTGATAATCTAAAACGATGCAACCAAATTCCTACAACCCAACCTGAAATGGAATATCTCTGATAAATGGTCCAACAGAATAGAATATACAATAATTGCAACTTGAGAAGTTAACATGGAAAACAATCTATTGATACTTAAGAGACCACAAGTATCAAAGCAAAATCTATAGATTGACCTATAACAGTCCTAGGGTTAAATCATTTGCAAGAAAACAAGAACATTACGAATGTCAAGTAGAAGCTGTAAAGGAAGGCTGTGCTCTGTCACTTGCTTCAACAAGCTTGAACTAGCAAACATCAAGGCATAAGGAGATGATGTATTATCCAGAATATATTGACACTGTGTGATATATTCAACATTTAAGGAAAAGCACTTCAGGGTACTCTCTGCATGTGCTCGCTCAACAGAGTCCTGTGACTTGTAAAGCCTTTCACACAAAGTTTCCAAGTGCGCTAAACTCTCCATCCTTCACTGCTCAGAAAGACTGTCCAATATTTCAGTTTAAGCTCCTTTTACAATTTTAACGAATGTCAGTATACAAATTTCATCCGAATGCAAAAATATTTTAAAGGAGGAAAAACAAAAAGAATGTAAATCTGCCTTGGTTCTATACAAATCAATTGAGAATATCAAAGATGATTAAATTGGATAAAGTAATACTATAATATTTATAGTTTACAGACATTAAAGACATCTTCAAATCTAATATTGTTTCAATTACAAGAGATGCTCTAAAATAAAAAGATAACTCCACATAAAAGGTCAATGGAAGAATTCATCAGCACATCCAGCCACAATAGCACTGGTCCAGACATGCGGCCAGTGTGATCCTGAGATAGAAACAAAGTCAAAATTATTAAAAACTCAAATGAAGTAGCATTGATGATTGAGAACCTTGAAATAAATTAAACTATATTCACAAGAATATATAAAGTACAGAGACCCAAAAAAACTACCATTCTCGTCCTATTTCTTGAGCAATAAAGTGCTCTAAGCATATAGAAGACTTAAGATAAGTAATCTTGTAAAGGACAGAAGCATTAAAGGATGAAAGGCAACTACTTGAATACACAAACGTTTTTGTATGCATGTCTATGTGAATAGAGAGAAGAATGTACATATATAATAGGCAAAAAACACATAAATAGAAAACCGCCAGTTCAATAACCTCATTTATATAGAAAATAAAATTTTCAAACTTGAGAGATTTACAGCTGCAGATTAAGAAAGAAGCAGAAAGTTGTGTGATTATGCCTTGACAAAAAGATTAACACTCCTGTTAAGAAAAACAGCATATTGAAAAAAGGTGGCACTTGAATGTCAATATTCTAATTTCTAAAATAATTAGAAGCCGATTTTTAAACACAATGGCTCCTTCACTTCAACTTATTTCTTCTTTCTTTTCCATAAAAAAACCAAAAGACAGCACAATTTGTTTTCAAAAATTCAATTTTGTTTATTAAGAATTTCAATATACAATCCGTTTTGCACTGTGATCACTCAGTCTACAGCTCATTGCCAGAATTAGCTTTCCAGCATCCTCTCAAAAGATAAGAAAGGTAAAATAGAAGATATATCCACATTAACATGGTAGAGCTCTCTAATCGTATTTCAGCACGATAGGGAGTCTTATACGGTAAAGCTTGCCAAATAGTATGTCTCCAAAACTCCTTCGAATAATAACACTTCTTTCAGAACACTTAATAATTTGACACATCAACATTTATCAAGGGCACATAAAGAAGCAGTTTATGAAAAAAGAGAAAAGACACTAGCAATCAACAATGACTTGAGGAAGAAATATAAAAGAAATTTTACCTATCTTTTTGTCTGAAACTAAAGCATAGGAGGGAATAACTTTAATGCTGAATGAACGCAATATCTTCAATGCACGACACTAAACAGCTAACAAAAGCATGGCATGAACCATGCACGGAATATACGAAATCTCTTGTAACAGAAGCAACCAAATGCAAATAGCCTCATCCCTACCCAACTGCTTCTCCACGCTCTAGAAGCCAAACCTCCCCGTTTCAAAAGAAACAAAACGTTCGGCCATATAATCACTTTGATTCACCAGCCATTGTGATGCGCACAAGAGATTGCCTTAGGTTGCCCATTTCCCTCCCCATCCCTACATCTTAAGGCGTTGAACAATAGCATGGCACTGCAACAGTAAATAATAGCCCGCGACAAATGCAACACTTACACGGATCAAGTAGAAGGAGAAAACAGAGTGGCGCGCAACAGGATTTATCAAAGACAACAAGATTTAACAAATACATTACCATTTCAAATTGAACAAGATAAACTTCATACATATTACGATCTTGATAAGAAGCGAGAATATAAAACCTCATCGGCTGAGTATTCAGATTGACCGAATACACACAAGTAATGCGTGTTGAAAGATAGATACAGATATTTATACATATTCGGAAGTGCACAGAACTATCAAGTGTGATAGTCCAGACACTGACCGCCGGAGATGTTCAACCGCAAATCATCGGGTTAGTAAGGTGAGCTTACACAGAAACGATGGCGGCCAGCTGCGTCTAAGTTCCGAAGTTAGGGCGAGAGGAGCGTCCAGGAGTCCACTCGAGACTCTAGAGGGACCTCGGGAGTGAAAATAGAGCGCCAAGGAAATACGCACGCACGCACGCACATATACATAGCGCGAAATTTGAGCGTGGAGCGCACGCACTCCATCCTTGTTTTCACGGGGCCACGAGTCACCCAGCCGTTTGTGCACACACGGGACACGCCTCTTCGGCCACTGCGGTTATTTACTTTGATTGAATGCTCGGCGGTAATTACGGGCTTTCCTTCTGTTATTACAGGCTTGTAGCTGTCTGCTAAATGCTCAACACTTGTCCGAAAAAAAATCTAACGTGGAAACTAAAATAATAATAAATACCTCCAATCAAATTTCACATTTTAATAAAATAATTATTTATTTTTAAATTAATATTATTTTTTTATATTTATTTTTATTAAACACCTTATAATAAATATAAAATTATTATCGATACGGACACTTTAAAAAAAAATTACATATCAAAAAATTAAAAATGCCTTACATTTTTTAACATTCAACTTCTCAAAAAATATTTTATATTTTTAAATGGAGAGAATAGCAAAATACTTTCTTGTTAAATATTTTTTAAATAATATATGAAATAAGGATATCATGTTTAAAAATCTGAAGTATTTTGATATTTTATATGAGAATAAGTGATATCATAATGAATATTTGAAATTAATGAGATTTTAATATTAATTCACGATTATAATTAAATTAAATTGTTAAATAAGAATGATAATGAAAAGAGCCTGCATTTCAGATGATGTTAACTGTTAATTATTTCTTTAAAACCAAAGGTTTTAATAATTTTAAATTAATGGTGTTTTTGTCCTGCAAGTTTTTTGTCATTTTTGCAATTCTAATAAAAAAAATTGAGTGATGAATATGGATTTTTTCAAGGTTGAGAGACATTTTATCTTTTAACTTTATCCAAAAGATTTTAAATTTAATTATAAATAAATTTTATCTTGGAATGTTAGAAATTTAGTTATCCCAATGATTTGAAAACCAAATCAAACCAGACAATTGAATCATCAACTAAAGTTATTAATAGTTCAGTTAGAATCAAAAAATTGTTTTCATAATTGAGATGGAGTTGAATTTGGGATCAAAGCATATTTCAAAAAATCAAACAATTTTAATCATAATATTTAAAAAGCTTAAAAAATTAAAAAACTAGAAAAAATAAAAATTAAATCATATTAAAAATTAACTTTATTTTCAAGCAATTTACATTTATAACATATAATTTGAAACTATTTCTTATAAAGAGGTTATATAAATATAAATATTTGAGTTTACTCACATCTAATTTAACTAAAATTTATCTATATTTAACAAGTTATAAAATTATAATTTATAATATTATTAATTTACTGTTATTTTATTAACATACAATAAATTATTTTTTTATTCATTTTATATATATATTTAATATTATTTTTATTTAATTATTATATTGTTCATTTGAGATTCAATTATGAACTGCTGACTGCTTAAGTTTGACATTGGTTTGATTTTGAAAATATTGGGTTATCCATGCCTCATTCATTATTTTCCTTGGTCTTACGTGTGAATTTTTTAATATTCTTATTATAAAACATTTCATAATTCAAATTTTTAATATTTTTCCCACTCGCATGCAAACTCTCTGTCTCATTGCAGATGCTTCCACGTCCTTGGTCAGCTTTCCCCTTTCCCTCCCTCCCTCTCCCCTCTCTCTCCTCCATTTACTTTCTATCTCAAGAGCACGCACGCACGGGTTGACCAGCTTCGACGGTTCTCCATGACTCACACACGGCTCTCTACCTTCCCGGTCTCGTCTCTACCTCATTCTTCATCTCCAACCATGCAAGGGTCTCCGATAGTAATGTGTCTTTTGCAGCTATGATGGTGCAATAGCTTCGACGGTCCTCCCTGTTCTTTCTAATTCATGCACTTCAAGAATGCCGCGTAACATCATATTCAACCAGCCTCCACTGCCTCACTCTCACTCTCCCTATCCCCTCTCTCCCCCCCCCCTTATATTCACTTTCTCTCTCTGGATGACGTACATACGGGATGACGAACGACACAGGGATTCGATGGCCAGAGGTTGAAGATGAAGAATGAGGGAATTAGCCAAGAGCACCGCATGATGGGTGGCGTCGAATTGGGCGGCACTAAATGGTTGGCGTTGTTCGCTGCACGCATTGTGGAGCTCAGTTTCGGTTATGTTTCCGACGAATCTTTGGACCCTTCTTGTTCCTCCAAAGAAGAAAAAGATGAATTAGCCCAGCGCCTTTGCAGGATTACCGCTTGCTCTAGAGTTAAAATAGCACGCTTGGCTTCGACTGGCTGAGGTGGAGAACCGTCGAAGCTGGATTGAATGGAGGAGAGAGAAGGGAGAGGGTGAGTCTGGATATTGGTGAGGCATGTGTTGTGTGGTATTCACTCTTCAACATCCACGCACGTCAGCCAGCATGAGGGAGAAGTAAAAGTGCATCGGAATCTAACTCCATCCGCTGTACGAGGGCTCGAGAGGCCTCCGATCCTCTGGAGCGCCAGACCACTAAACGATTCCACCAACTCAGTGTGAACCCACTCACCACCACCGACTTCACCATGTCACTATACATCTCAGCCATCTTAACCCCACGAACCCGCCATAACTCAGAAGAATGATGCTCTGCGAGGTTTTTACGTTGTTGCAGATTTGAAAGAGAGGGAGGGAATAGAGGAGACGGAGGAGGGAAGGAGACAGGGGGAAAGAGAGTGGGAAAAAATATTGAAAAAAAAAAATTGTATGATCCACTTAAATATTTTATCATAAAAAACATTTAAAAAATTTAGACATGGGCGCCCAACAGGAAATCATATCAGGGTTTGGAACTATGGATAACCGAATTTGTAACGATCAAGGACAAAATTTACTTAATTTAAAATATCTATTGATTTTTCAAATGAAGTTGAGTAGTAATAATAATTTTTAACCCTTTCTTCAATTGCAGCATTCAATGATCCAATAAATGGTTTGATTTATTTTTATCGAATCAAATATAAACTCTAATATATATGTATATATATGTTTCCAATCAATTTTTCTCAGGTTTTTATTTTAATAGAAAATTAAGATTTTTTTTTTGTCAGATAGAAAATTGAGATTTTAAGCGGTGATTACAGGAGGTTGCTTGCATTACAACAATTAATAAATGCTCAATATCTATCAATCAATCTAGATTTATTGCATCTAACTAACAATGCCCACTTTGAAATAAATGAAAAGATACAAAGAGGATTTTGTCATTATTGTTTTTTCCTAGTTTGTCCAAAAAAATTCGAGTTTTTCAACGACAGTATATAAACTGACTAGCTTGACCAAACAAACAAACAAAAAATGACTGCATTTGAGGGCATCAAATAAATGTTCATAAAATAAATAAATTGGATTGTTTAAAATAAAAAGAAATACTCCTTCTTATCCTACTTATAGGTTACTTCCAGTATGTTTCACCGGAATAAAGAAAAATTTTAAATTTCATTAACTTTATTTTAAAATTTAATAAGTTTTTAGCTCTACTTCTAATAAATATTCTTAAATTTTATTGCTGGTATTTTTATTCAAAACATTTAATGAGGGATAAAAATGTAAAAAGGGGCGTTGAAAATTGATAAATACCCTGTAAAAAATATTAGATGTTCTTCTTTCTCTTTATCTTATAAATAAAACATGAGGAGTACGCAAAGGAAGCTTACTAGTTGGAACAGGGGTAAGTTTTAGTTTTTGGTTGATAAGGTGCGAGAGAATCTTACTAGTTGGAAGAGACAAACTCTTTCTCTATCAGGTAGAATCACTTTAGTGTAGTTGGTTACATCTCAGACGGTAAATTTTCACATGCAACATAAGAAATTACTGGCTAGTATTTGTAACGAGATTGAGAGAATGCAGAGGAACTTCATTTGGGGTTCTACAGAAGAGAAGAGGAAGGTGCATGTATTGAACTGGAAAGTATTATGTTATCTGAACGAGAAGGGAGGTTATGGGTTGAAGGAAATTGGAGTTATGAATGAGGCTCTCTTGGGAAAGGTGGGTTGGAATATGTTAGCTAATCCTAATAATTTGTGTTTTATTATTCTTTATGAGAAGTATGAGAGGGGAGCTGATCTGTTTTCTAATATCATTGTTAAGAATTTTGATTCTATTTTGTAGAAAAATTTGGCTAGTTTATGGCTAAAGATTTTGCATAATATTGCATGGGAATGTAGGAGTGGTAAAGAAATAAATTTTTGGACTGATTCTTGGTTAGATAATGAGCGCTCTTTACATGAAAGGGCGTTGAGAAAGCTAGAAGGGAGGTTGCTTGATTGTAGTATTGCTGATTTGGTTAATGAAAGAGGGGAATAGGAGTTGCTGTACTTAAAAGATTACTTGTGTGGAGCTGATTTAATGAGGATACAAGCTATAATTTCACCTATGGCTGGAAATAAAAGTGACAAGATTAGATGGAAAGGGTCTATGGGAGATTTGTATGTCGCGGCAGACATGTATAGGAAGATTAGAGGAGATGTAGATGCTGCAGAGGAGGTTGTTTGGAAAAAGATTTAGAAGTAGAAGGGACTTAAGAGAGTGCATATGTTTATGTGGTTGGCAACTCATGATAGGTTGTTCACTTCTATTAGAAGGGCGAAGATGATGGATGGTTCCTCTATGTGTGGTAGGTACAATGATGGAGATGAGTGTAAAATGCATGTTTCGAGAGATTGCGTGGAGGCATGGAAGGTTTGGAGGGCTTTGAGAAAGGAAAAAGTATCTAATTCCTTTTTTGTGTGGCAGGAAAATGAGTGGATTTTAAATAATCTTAATATGATCGAAGATTGGGGACTGGTGTTTACTGTCACTTGTTGGTGATTGTGGCGTTGGAGAAACAAGTCATTTTTAGAGGAGGGGTTTTAAATGTTTGAAAAGCTTGAGTTGATTATAAATAAATATGTGTGGAAATGAAAACACCTGACTAGTTTACTTGATCGTCTTGGCTTTGTGTAGACAAGAGGTGCAAGTGGGTTGGGCGAAGCCCAAGGTTAGTTGGATCAAACTTAATTTTGATAGAGCTATTAATTTGATTAAATCAAATGTTGGTTGTGGTGGGTTGCTTAAAGAAAATGATGGAAATTGGATTTGTGGTTATGCCAAGCATGTAGGGTTTTGTTCTATGGTTATGGCAGAGTTGTGAGGTGTGTTGTGTGGGTTGAGGGTGGCCAAAGATAAGAATGTGCAGAGGTTGATTATTGAAGGAAACTCCATAGCCATTATTAGTATGCTCAAGGAAGTTATGGTTGATGACTTGGTTATAAATAATGTAATGAAGATGATTAAAGATTCAATTTGTACATATTGACAAGCACACAAACAGCATAGTTAGAGGGAAGGAAATACTTGTACTAATTAGTTAGCTAATGTTAGTTTTTTACAGGATTTTAATTTGAAGGAATTTGTTTTTCCTCCTCTTGGTTTACTTGATTCTTTGTATAGAGATAAAAGAGGCGTCACTGTCTTGCGTGAAATTTTAGTATAATTCTGCTGGGGCTTTTGCCCTCTTTGCTTGTAAGGAAAAAAAAAAAAAACATGAGGAGTACGCATGAAAATGAATAAGGGAACCCCTTGTTTGGGACTTGGGAGTACATATTATTTATGATGGGCCAATAAATACCACGAGGAGGAATATTTATCTGGACCTGAACTTTTGTTTTTTTTTATCTATTCTCCTCTCTCGTTATAACTCCAACTTGTTGCGTCGCGCCGCCGTGAAGCATGAGCATGATAGATCCTATAATCCCTTCACAAATCACAGCTGATATTCACAATCACTTAACAGTCTGGATCAGTATCAGTCAGCTACCTTGTCTTGATCAGGACATGCCTTGACGTCCTACAACGAGCTGCAATGTTTAAAACCAATAAATAGTTTACAAGAATACGCGTCTGGGTAGTTCAATTACAACTTACAATAAAAATCTCAATCGCTCCTCCAAATTGTGACAAGAAAATAAAGCTAGAGAGCTACTTATCGTCTTTCTTTAATTTGTTTTCAAGAGTGATAGGCACCCCTTCATATATGCATTGGATTTTATTTTTAATTTTATTTAGAAGTCACTTTCAACTTATTTCACTGAAATTAAAAAAAAATTAAAACTCATTAACTGTATTCAAAAATTTAATAAGTTTTTAATATCATCTCTACTAAATAAACATACCTCATTAATATATATTTTTTTAACATTGAACAGAGGGTAAAAAAAATTTATAATAAAAATTTAATGAAATTTAAAATAAAATAAAAAAACTCTTTTATCGCAGGCTCGTTGCTTTATAAATTGGACCGGAGTATGTGATGGTGCAGGACAATAATTGCAGGGTCAGCTGAAAGTTTCAAACTCGGGCAGTTGGGCAGGGAAAAAAAAATAATGGTCTTTTTAAATTGGGGAGGAACAAAATGAAAGTCTAAAGCCGAAACACTAGAGTCCCACTATTTAGTGACGTCTAGTTACTTTTGACACAAAAAAAAAAGTGACGTCTAATTACTGAAAGAATAAAATAAAATATGAAATAAATAAGTTTTTTTTCCCCCAGTTGATCTCTATTACAGTATTTAATTTATCAATATCATACCCTGTTTCACGTCCGTTACACGAGTGTTCGAATTTATTAATCGATCAAAAACTTTTTTCAGAAGCCAATATCGTATAAACGTGTGGTTGAAATTTTATTTGGCAAAAAACCAATCATTTACAAGTCGCACTGTTAAATAGAAATCTTACAAGTTTTAATACAAATTTATATAAATTTTGTTTAATGAACTGACATCCGTGATTCAAATAAATTAAATAAACTGGCTTGAAGATTCATGGTGATCATTGCGGCTGTTGCGGTCACCCTAATTAAAGCAGTCTTTTTTAGACTAATTTTAAGAAGAGATTGATCTGTTAACTTAAATTTTATTCTTAGAAATTATGTTAGAAACATTTATGTGCTTGTTAGGACAGCTCACACTTTCTCCAAAAATAGGCATTTCTTCAACCATGCTCCATCTTTCATTAGAAAAGGAGAGGAAGGGGGAAGAAATGATCTTGTTGATATATTTTGTTCTCTAACTTTTGATATGAATGAATCACCTTTTATTTTTTAAAAAAAGAAGCAATCTTTTCTTCCTTTTATTCCAGGAGGTTACTACTAATGTTTTTATTCATTCTGAGCAGTAGTCCCTAAGGGTGATAAAGAATGTTAAGAGAAGCGTATGAAAATCTATCGAAGAAGAAAATCATCTTAAGATGGATGGTCAAAAATCTTCCATTATAGATTATTGAGAAGAGAAAATTAGATACTTACATCCATAAATTTAAGATCAAGAATAAAGCTGTCAATTATAACTAAACCAAGGCTGACCAAGCTTAAAAATAACCAAGACCAAATAGCTACTTTTGGATAGAAATGATAATCTGAGAATAAAAGGATTGATCCTTTAAAGGTTGGCACTTTTATTATTTTGTTCAAAACATTTTCAACATGAAAAAGATAAAAGAGTAAACATTAAACATCTAACTAAAAGAAATGAAAATGCTAAACTTAATTTGATAATAATTGATTATTATCAAGATTTAACTAATAAATACTAGCAAGGTATAATTTTTATTGATATTAATTTTGACATTGCTGTTGGATATTAAACTTGAATATTTATGTTTGGCAAATAAAAAAAAAGACTTGAATGTTTACATTTTACATATTAGTTGTGGTGTAAATTAATTTAAATTTATTTTTTTAGGCTTATGTGTAATCATTTTCTTTTAGGATTATAAATATGTTTTTTTATTTTTAAATTAACAATTTTTTTAAAAAAAATAGGGTCGGGCTTTGCAAAACAAAGCCCTAAGATGACCAGAGTTATTAAGGACAGCTCATTTAGGCCCTATCCCTTTAAAGATCAACTATAATTAAGATACTACCATAACAAAAATATTTTAAATTTAAAAATAATCCGAAGAAGTTGATATTAAAAGTAAAGACAAAATAAGCACACCCATAAAAAGATCCATCTATTCTAACTTGATTGGAAAACAACAACCTAAATACATAAGCAGGAATATATGAGCCTTTCCTTTCCCTTAGCTGGTAGGCAACTTTCAAAACTTCATAGCAATCAAGAGTTGACATATGCAAATATCATTGCATTGTTGATTTGGAGGGGGTTAAAAGTGATTGCAAGTTTGCTTGGGCTACAAATATTTAACCACTACCCACGCAACCATTATTAGAATCATGACAAGAAGATCCTGGAGGAGGAGGTGCCTTTAGTGCCCCTTGCTCAACATGGATAACCTCATTTGCACCACCTGCTTCAAGAAAAACATGAAGTCTAGCATGAACATCATTGCAATTGATTACATGTGTATTTGGATTACATTATGACTTAGGTTAGGATAGCTCCAACCTAAGTTGAGATGGCAAAAGCCATCAAAACTTTGGATAAAAAAAAAGGTGAATGAGCGTTGGGAGAGAGCTTTGTAATAAGTGTTGGGGATGTTAGGTAATGTTTTATCAATCTACTCTCTCTTCAATCTCCACTAATGCTCGAATTTGCTTTGCCTTTAGCATTCACGAGTCTTCATGAGTCAACTCTTCACCACCTTCTCGTCTCCGTAGATCTGACCAGAGATTGTGTTCACTGTCGTTGTAGCCATTTGATCTTCCGTCAACTGTGTTGCTTGCATATAATGTTTGAGTTTTCTCGCCATCATGCCTTCTTTCTTCTTGCTAGCTTTTGTTGTGCTTGCCTACCATCTTCTTAAGTTAGTATTCATTGGAGGGTAAGGTGGGTATTTATGGCTTCACACCACTCACCCACGCAACAATCTTGAAAGTAGAGAATCTTTGAAAAAATGACATCATTAACTTCAGCCGTGCGGCCACAGAAGGCCGAACACTTTCCCTCTCTTGTTATCTCCTCTGCATAATACACCAGCTTCTCGATTACAATATCAAGGCATACACCAAGTGCCGAACCATCGACGTGTTTTGCCATAACCAAAACCTCTCAGATCCTTCTTCCATTGCTTTAGCTTTATTCGATGGTAAGGCTCAACTGAAAATCGCCAAAAGGCAAGCAACCATCTATTCACTCTACGCCCTAACTATCAGGAGCATTATAAAGATGAATTGATAGTTCACAAGTTACATTTGAGAAATTGCTAATTCTCTTTATCTGCAGTGCTGTCGCAACTACTAGATCAAACTAGTAGGTGATAGGTTAGCCTTTTCAAGCAAGTATATATACTATATTACAACCTGCCCATATATATATATATACTCTTTTTCCAAACCTTTAGAAAATGGAAGACATAAATCAAGGATGCACTTTACGTAAGAAAATCAGTTGTAGTAATACTCTCTCCCCCCCTTTTTAGGTCTTGCAGAAACATGCAACTTTATTAGCTGACGAGTTTCGCATATATGTGATTTTGCTCCACGATGAGTTTGCCTTTTCAGCAATATTACTAACAATAGAAAGATGATGATGATGATGATTCCTTGTGTGTGCGGGAGAGTTGTTTATGGATTTTTGTGCCAAATGGAAGACATGAATGTTTGATTGAAGGGATGGAATAACAAGATAATGATCTATATTTGCAGCCTAGGAATAACATGAAATTTGAAAATGAAATATTGTGGTTTCCTAATGAGAAAACTATTAAGCATATCTCAATGTATGTGTATAATTAAAAAATAATAGACTATATCATGACAAAAAAATTAAGGCGGAAGAAATTTAGAGACCTAAAGTAAACTCATTATAAAGGCTTATTATAATATAATTTATAAATTATACTAACTGAGACTAACTAAGTTTTACATTCATTTCGATAGCATCAAGTAAAAAAAAAATCACTTTATTTTTTTTAATTTCAAAAATACGCAAATCCATTTTTATATAATTTTTCATTATACAATATCTAAACTAGCTTTTAAATCAAATTATGTAAAAATTTTCTATTACATGTTTTTCTATTTGTAATCTACTCTTTAAAAACATCAAAGATTAGTCACAAAAATATATATAAGAAAAATCGTGTTTATCTTTGTCATTATACACTTTAATTGACTTTTAAATCAAATCATCAAATAAATTTTAATTTATTTAACTGACTTATGAAAAAAAAATCCAAATGTAAATCATGTTAAAGTCACAAACTTTTTTCTAACCTCAATTGCAAAATTTTTTAATCCAAACACACTATACATATTAGTAAAAATGTTCAATACACGCATCCTCAACATGTCTCACATTCAAGCCAGTCGAGGGTCACGATCACAGCAGTAGATTGTATCATTCAAATGATGTGAAATCTCACCGCTGAAATTCATTTGAAGAACGAGATCCTTGTTCCCGGCATCTTAGGCAAAATGCTTCATCTGAGAGATTAACTTCTCAGCTAAAAGGACACACTCTTTTTTCAAACCATTTTGAAGTAATGGAAAATGACTGCTGTTTGAAAACAGAGAGATCCAAATTAACATGATTAACTGTTGAAAATGCAATTGACCCTGCATCTTATGTCCAGCATCTGCGGAATAGCAGCATATATGGAGGAGCGGAAGAGTAAGTATCGCAAACATCACCCAAGCAACAAGGTAAAAAAAGCAGGGTAACAGATCTACTCCTATTCTCAATGGAGACAGTGTCTTGAGTTGCTTCTCTCTTTTCATTTCTAGACTGATCTCCTGTGACTTCTAAATACCAGTTTCTTGCAACGTGTAATTAAGCGTACTAGTTCACTGTGTATGAAAAATGAAATCTATTAGAAACATGAGCACTAGCTTTATGTTTTATCAAATGTTACATATTGATAATTATTCCTATTAATTAACCTCTTGTGTTCATTCTACTTAGGCAAAGCAAGTCCACAATTAGAAGAAAGACGATACCGAGATGACGAGCGTAAATCCCTCAAGAATATATCATCAACGATGTAGCTATACAAGGGCAAAAATTGACAAGTTGCATGCATCATTTCCAAGCGACTGAAAATTCATTTTAGTTCTTCAAGAGTTCTAATCTGTAAGTCATCTCTATTATAGTTTATTCTAACAAAATACCGTTTTATCCTCCCTATGAATGATCCAGTCCTGCCTATCAATTTCCAATATAAACACATCGGAAGCAAGGAGTCTAGCACCATTTTTCAACATCAAAGTATCAAACAGTCAACAATATGCTTACACTGAAAAATAGCATACATAAACTGTAAAGGACCGAGGGCCAGACCTGTCGTATGTGGGAATTGGTTGTATCCACATGCTCATCCAAATTATCCTGAAAATTTTCCAAGGTGAGAAAATCATGAGGAGAAGTCATGGAAGAGATAAAGTATGGAGACGAATTACAACTCCGCTTACCAGAAGCCTAGTATGCAGGCTAAGTTCCTCGTTAACTGCCAATACAATGTGTTTGGTGCTTGCGACTCTCTCTTCCAATATTTCAAGATCTTTATCTTGTTCTGCCTTGAGAGAAATAAAATAAAAATCTTGCAACAGCCAGGAATTCTACGTGAATATCAAGTTTTATCATAACATACCTTTAATAATTTGTCGTTGAAAACCATCAACGCCTTGGTTGTCCCAGCTAACTGCTTTCTTCATGACTTCTTCAGACTTTTTACCAGGGCCTAGCAAGACCAGCCATCTCATTTGCTTTGAAGCTTTTATATCAGCAAGTCTCGGCGTCAATTCATTTCCTGTTCTGTCATTCACAAAGAACTTGAAAAATTTAATGTCAAAACCATGTAATCTAGTCTTCAATTACGGTTGAGATGAATCCTAACTTAGACTAAATCTGTCATTTGTCAAAATATAAATTGCAGCAATAACCAAACTTATCATTGTGGAAAACAATTTTAGCAGGATAATAAAAAAATAGAAAATGCAATAATCGATTCCTATAATTTTATCCTATTTTACTTTTAGTCCCTATACTTTTTTTCAGTGTTTTCAGTCCTTATAGGAACTAAAAACACTGAAACTACAACGATCTGAGAAACAAAATTTTACTGAAACTATAGGGACTGAAAGTAGTAGGAAAAAAATTACAGGGACTAAAAGTAAAAATAAAACTATAAGGACTGATGATTGTGTTTTCCCTTAAAAAATACTTGCATAAGCATTGAATCATATCCTCAATTTCAAATCTGCCTTTGTCTTCAAGTACTGATGATACGTAAGCCTACAACTGTCTGGCCAACCATTTTCAACCCCAAAGTAATGATTGAAAAAAGTAAGAAATAAAAAAAAAAGAAAAAAAAAAAGCCTGTGAAATTATCAGTGTCCAGATCGATAGGTACACACCATAAGATGACTGTGCCACTGCCAAGGCAAAGTATGTAAAATAGTATGACAAATTAAACTTTTTTAATACAAAAGATTATGTCCATTGCTACAGATGGCTTATATAACGAATACTCTGCAATTCAACAGCCTTAGATGCGTGAAGAAGTTACTGATGTAAAAGACCGAATTAATGGAGAAGTTAAAATCGTTACCTGATTGTCCTCATCGTTGTGATTTGATGCCAAATTGTGCCTTAGCTTTGGGGGTTTCACGATCGGAGGCAAAAAATGTAGATGATTTGTGACCCAGTAATGCCTCAGATGTTTCGCCAGTTTTTGTTAAGGTTCTCGTCTTCTCAATCTTCCCAATAACTAGGCTACCACTGCCAAACTTGCAGATGCAGATTCACAGGGCCTAGACTAATCAAAGATTGGTCTAATTTCGAAAATCATTTACTGAATTCAAGAGTGGTAAACTATGCAGCCCACCATCAATATTCATTGCCAATAGCTACAACTTTTATTTTCTTTTATCAAAACATTTTTCAGGCGTGACCCTCAGTTTCCATCTCCCAGTGCAGTAACTTCAATACAAAATAAATATCTTTCCCTCCATGCTGACGTAATTTATTGGCCTCAAAAGAGTATGTATGATTTTTTATCCCTATCCAACTACATCCTGTGAACTCCTTAGCACCTTTATGTTCCACCGCCTTTCTAACTCGAACCATGCTCTCCCACCTGCCCCTCATTTGATATGCTTGAGCCAACACCAAGTAAGGTAAAGAGGATTGTGGTTCCATCTCCATTATTTTCTTTGCCATCCTTTCAATAAATCCCAAGTCTTCATGAAGTGCGCATGTAGAGAGAATTGACTTCCAAATAAGAGCAGTTCTGTATGGCATTGTTTCAATAATGTCAATAGCTTCTTTCAGCCTACCAGCACGACTCAACAACTCCACAGCAAAAGCATAATGCTGTTCCCCTGGTTTAACCCCAAATTCCTTCTCCATAGACGACAATATTTCAATTCCTTCATCAACCAAACTCCCATAGTTGCATGCTAGTAAGACTGCAGCAAGAGTTATTCGGTCTGGTGATGTACCTTCACTAATTAATTCATTGAATAGGTCCATAGCCACAGACACCTCACCATTGAAAGTTAGACCCATCAATATGGTGTTCCAAGATATCAAATCTCTTCTTCTTATTTCATTGAAGATATTCAGGGCATCAAAAATAAAGCCAAATTTTGCATACATTTCAACGAGTGCATTGGCAACCACTGAATCTGACTCAAAACCCGATTTAAGAACCAAAGAATGGATTTGATAACCCAGTTCTACTTTTAACATACTGGAAAAACAACTCAGAAGACAGCTAACCATGTATTCAGTTGGCCTAACATTGTTCCTCAAGGTCAGAACAAAAAGTCCTAAAGCCTCATCTCCTAAACCATATCTAGCATAGCTTGAAATCATGGAACTGCACAGAGCTGAGTCCCAATGACCTTGTTCTCTAAAAAGCTGTACAGAATCCTCCAATCTGTTGCATTTGGAAAAGAGGTCAATAGCTGCACTTGATACAATGCTATTATAAATGAATCCCATCTTGAAACAAAAGGCAAAAATTTGCTTACCCTTTTCCAAATCTTGCAGGTTAGAGCACACACTGATCAATATTGAAGATGTAAACTGGTCAGGTAACAACTCTGCGCTTCTCATGTGATGGAACTGCTCTAATGCCAATTCTTGATGTCCGGCACTATGGCAGGCCCCGATCAAAGAATTCCAAGATATAATATCCAACTGGTTCATGGTCAGAATCACACCAAAAGCATAATCAACAAGACCGAAATTCCCATACATATTTACTAAAGAATTCCCAAGTACCAAATTTGAGAAATCTGCCCCACTTCTGATCAACCTGCCATGAATTTGCTTACCTTGATAAGGACTTGACAAGAGTGACATCATAATGGTGTAAGTGAATGCACTTGGCCTCGTGCCAATATTTTGCATCTCAAGGAAAATTTGAAAAGCTTGATTACCAAACCCATGAGATGCATAACCTGAAATCATCGTGTTCCAACTGACTACATCTCTCACAGGCATTTCATCAAACAAATGGCTGGCCTTCTCGAGATGACCACTTCTGAGCAACCCTTTTAAACAGATATTCCAGGACGTAGAATTCTTATATCTAATATCATCAAATCCTTTCAAGACATCACTCACCATACCAAACTTGGAGTACAGATCGAGACAGCGATTACCCAAATAGGTGTAGACATTAAAACCCAATTTTATCAACTGGGCATGGATAATTTTGTTGAATTTTAGAGATTTTTTGGACAAGCAATAGTCTAAAAGAGCAGAAAAACAGGAGAGTGAATTTTGAGGACCTTGTCCAAGCTTTAAATATGGGTACATACATGTGCTATGAGAAAGAAGGTGATTGAGAGCCGAACTTGAGATAAAGCATAATGCATTACATGTTGGAACGGAGCTTCCCGGAATTTCTATTTTTGAACATCTGTTGCTAACACATTTGGAATACTTGGAAGATAGATCATATTTTGTAGACTAGCTTCTGTGGGCAACGTTCCCCTGGTTCTTGGCGCTTCCACAAGCAGCAGGGACAGTCAATCCTGCATCCACAGAACGTTCCCCTGGTTCTTGGCGCTTCCACAAGCAGCAGGGACAGTCAATCCTGCATCCACATTCTGTGCTTATCCCGTGTCCATATTGTCTAGAGAAAAAAATTTCAAACTTAAGAGTGGTGTACAGCTGAAGATTAAGAAAGAAGTAGAAAATTGGGAGATTATGCCTTGACAAGAAGATAAACACTCCTGTTAAGAAAAACAACATATTTAATAAAAATGGCATTTGAATGTTGATATTCTAATTTCTCAAATAATTAGAAGCCTATTCTTAAACATTTGGGCATAAAATAAGATATACGAAATACATGATTCTGACCTTTCATACATCATGAGAAACAGAGGTGCCTTGATTCTTTTCACAGGTTGCATTCTCAATTTTTTCTCAGAAATAGATTTCCAAAGCGATGGTAAATTTATATGTCCACAAATGAATATCACAATAAGGGGAAGGGGAAGCTAGATAACCATTCATCTCCAGGTTTGAGTCATGGGAATTTCTAGCTTCCAATGAATATCATAAAAGAGATCATCAAGGGAAGATTGAGAAAATCTTTTAACACAATGGCTTCTTTACTTCAACTCATTTCTTGTTTCTTTTCCATAAAACAACAAAAAGACAGCACAATTTGTTCTCGAAGATTCAATTTTGTCTATTAAGAATTTCAATATACTATCCTTTTGCACTGTGACCACTCAGTCTACAGCTCATTGCAAGATTTAGCTCTCCAGCAGATGTACAAGACATCCACTCAAAAGATAAGAAAGCTAAAATCAGAAGATATAATCACATCAGCATGTTAGAGCTCTCTAATCATATTTCAGAATGATAGGGAGTCTTAAATATGATAAAGCTCTCCAAATAGTATGTCACCAAAACTCCTTAGAAGCAATAACACTTGATGGTTTTGCACATCTACATTTTTCAAGGGCACGTAAAGAAGCAGTTTAGGATAAAAGAGAAAAGACACAAACGATCAGAAATGACTTCAGGAAGAAATATACAAGAAATTTTACGTATTTTTTGTCTGAAACTAAAGCATGGGAGGGAATAACTTTAACGCCGAATGCGCGGCACTAAACATCTAATTGAAGTATACGAAATCTCTTGCAACAAAAGCAACCAAATGCAAATAGCCTCATGCCCTCATCCCTACCCAACTGCTTCTCCACGCTCTAGAAGCGAAACCTCCCCATTTCAAAAGAAACAAAACGTTCGGCCATATAATCACTTTGATTCACCAGCCATTGTGATGCGCACAAGAGATAGCCTTGGGTACCCACTTCACTCCCCGTCCCTACATCTTAAGGCGTTGAACAATGGCATGGCACTGCAACAGTTAATAATAGCCCGCGACAAATGCAACGCTTCCACGGAACAAGTAGAAGGAGAAAACAAAGTGACACGCAACAGAATTTATCAAAGACAACAATATTTAACAATACATCATCATTACAAATTGGACAAGAAAAATTTTATACATATTAATAACTTCATAAGAAGCGATAATCTAAAACCTCATCAGCGGAGTGTTCAGATGCGTAAAAGATATATATATATATAAATTCCTATTTAACAGACATCGGAAGTACACAAAACTATCAAGTGTGATAGTCCAGACACAGACCGCCTGAGATGTTTAAGCGCAAATTATCAGGTTAGTAAGGGGAGCTTACACAGAAACAATGGCGGCCCGGCTGCGTCTAAGTTCCGAAGTTAGGGCGAGAGGAGAGTCCAGGAATCCCGACGGGAGGGACTTTGTAAGTGGAAGTAGAGCGCCAAGGATTTACCAGAACTTAAATGAGCTTCTCCTTGCCGTACATTCATTTGTGGACATCTTGATTTACCCAAACTTTGGACATCTATTTCTGAGAAAAAAATTGAGAATGCAGCCTGGTGAAAAAATCAAGGCACCTCTGTTTCTTGCGATGCATGAAATCTATTTCATGAGTAGAAGCAATTAGTTCGTTAGATTCAACTCCCGCATGTCTCCTTGTCTTCCTTTTTGTCCCCACCTTTCAAAAACTCTTCCTTCTGACGATTTTGAGGAACCTTGCTGCAAGAGAGTACATTAATCACCCGAGTGATGTTGCTTCCATCTATTTATCCCACCTCGTGGGCACGTTTTGGCCACCCTCTTTCCTCGAGATATTTCAGTATTTTATACGAGTAAATAATGAGTTTTAATGAGTAGTTGAAATTAATAAGATTTTAATATCAATTTGTGATCATGATTAAATTACACGGTTAAATAAAGGCAGATATTAAAAAGAGCATGCAATTTTTAATGATATCAACTATGTTTTAGTTAAAAAGGATTGTTAGAAATACCTTGCAGTTTCAATGGAGAGTTACATATAAATCTTAAATAAGGAAACTAATAATTTATTTTAATTGAAGATTATGAAATTGCTTTATTTAAGCTTTCACTTCTAAATTTGTAAATGATAAACTTCAAATTTGTTAGTATTAAAATCACTTTACTTAATTTAAAAATTTAGTTGAAGAGATTATAAAATCATTTTATTTGAGCTGAAAAATATTTTTCCTTTAAAACATGCAAAATTAGTCCCAATCTTGCAATTAACCAACTTCACATTTACTATTACTTGAATAAAATTATTTTAATTCAGTTAGAAATTTAGTTGAAAGGAACTTTGAAATCACTTACTTTATTTGAATAAAAAATATTTTTACTTCCAAACTTATAGTTAGCCAATTTAAAATTTGTTAATGCAGAAATCATATTAATTGAATTAGAAATATAGTTGAAGGGGTTATGAAATTATTCTATTTGAGTTGAAAAAAAAAATTTACTCTTAAGACTCACAAACTTGGTCACCAAACATAAACATTTTAGTCAAATATTTAAACTACAAAAAAGAACTTGTCCTAAAATATAATTTCATAATTTCCTGGTCCATATTGGTTACGAAGGTTCTTATATGTGATTTTTCCCAAAAAAATAATAACGGTCTTTTAATTGGGAGAGTGGGAAAATAGGGGGGGGGGGGGAATGGAAGTCTAAAGCTGAAACACTGAAGAGTCTAACAATTAAGCGATGCCCAATTACTAAAAGAATAAAATAAAATACGAAAGGAACAAGCATTTTTTCCCAATTGATCATTGATCAGTAATACAATATTTAATTTAAATATAAATATTCAATAAAAATCGTACATTCATTTAATTCTTTGTCTATTAAGATGGATGGTCAAAATTTTTCACAGCACCTCCCCTACGATAGATTATTGGCAAGAAAAAAATTTAAAAATAAGCAGGAAAAGTTTATAATAAAAGTCAGGACAGCATTAGTAAACACGCAAAAAGATCCATCTATTCTAATTTGATTGGGAAACAATAACTTAAATAAACATGCATGAAAATATGAGCTTTTCCCCTTGCTGGTACGGTAACTCTCAAAACTTCATAGCAATCAAAAGTTGACACATGCACATAATGCTGCATTGCTGATTTGGAGGGGGATAAAAGTGATTGGAAGTTCGCGTGTGCTACAAATATTTAACCAGTGCCCATGCAAAAATTATCAGAATAGCGATAACAAGGACTAACAAGATCAAGCAGGAGCAACCGCCTTTAGTGCCCTTGTTCAACACGGCCAACCTCCTTTGTACCATCTGCTTCAAGAGAAACATCAAGTCCAGCATGAAAGTTATCGCAACTGATTACGCATATTATTCAAAAGTTCAATACACACATCCTCGACATTTCTCACATTCAAGCTTGTCGAGGGTTATGATCACAACAGCAGATTGTATCTTTCAAACAAAGTAAAATTTCTACCGTTGAAATTCATTTAAAGAACGAGATCGTTGTTTCCTGAGATCTTAAGCAAAAAAGTTCATCTAAGATATTAACTTCTCAACTAGCAGCAGATATGTAATTTTTTTTTTCAAACCACTTTGAAGTCATAGAAGATCACTGCTGTTTGAAAACAGAGAGATCCAAAGTAACAGGTCTCATAGGAAGGATGTTTCAACAGTCATACGATTAACTATTGAAAATGCAAGTGACCTTGCATCTTTTGTCCAGCATCTGCGCAATAGCAGCGTATATGAAGGAGCCGAAGAGTAAGTAATGCAAACATTACTCAAGCAACAAGGAAAAAAATCAAGGTAACAAATCTACTCCTGTTCTCAATGGACTGTGTCTTGAGTTGCTTCTTTCTTTTCATTTCTAGAGTGACCTTGTCCTGTGACTTCTAAATACCAGTCTCTTGCAACCTGTAATTAAGTGTACTAGTTCCATTTGGATGAAGAATAAAATCTATTCTAGACATCAGGACTAGCTCTACGTTTTATCAAATGTTACATATTGATAATTATTCCTATGAATTAGCTTGTTATCTTCATTCTACTAAGACAAAGCAAGTCCACAAATTGAAGAAAGATGATACTGAGATGATGAATGTGAATCCTTCAAGAACATATCATCAATAAGGTTTTTATACAAGGGTAAAAAATGACACGTGGAATGGTCATTTCCCAGCAATTGAAAATTCGTTTTACTTCTTAGAGTTATATTCCGTACATCATCTCAATATAGTTTATCCTAACAAAATGCCGTTTATACTTTCTATAAATGATCCAGTCCTGCCTGTCAAATCCAAAAATTTCCAATATCAACATATCTGAAAGCAAGTAGTCTAGCACCATTTTTCAACATCAAACAGTCAACAATATGCTTATACTAACAAATAGCATACATGAATTGTGAAGGACCAAGGGCCAAACCTGTAGGCGGGAATTGGTTGTATCCACATGCTCATTCAAATTATCCTGAAAATTTTCCAAGGTGAGAAAATCATGAGGAGAAGTCATGGAAGAAGATAAAGTATGGAGACGAATTACAACTCCGCTTACTAGAAGCCTAGTATGTAGGCTAAGTTCCTCGTTAACTGCCAATGCAATGTGTTTGGTGCTTGTAACTGTCTCTTCCAATTTTTCAAGATCTTCATCTTGTTCTGCCTTGAGAAAAATAAAATAAAAATCTTCCAACAGCCAGGAACCCTACGTGAATATTAAGTTTTGTCATAACATACCTTTAATAATTTGTCGTTGAAAACCAACAACGCCTTGGTTGTTCATGCTAGCTGCTTTCTTCATGACTTCTTCAGATTTTTTATCAGGGCCTAGCAAACTATCTCTATTAGCAAGACCAGACATGTTAAGGGTAGCAGCCATCTCATTTGCTTTGGAGCTTATATTAGCAAGTAAGTCTTGGCGTCGATTGGTTTCTTTTCCTGTTCTGTTATTCACGAAGAACTTGAAAAATTTAATGTTCAAGCCATGCATTCTAATCTTAAATTGTAGTTGATATGAATCCTAAGCTAGACCAAATCCGTTATTTGTCAAAATATAAATTGCAGTAATTATCAATTTTAAATGCCATGGATAACAATTGATATTTTCCCATAAATAACAAGGTAATTGCTACACAGAATATATCTTCTGCACATATAGAGGCCTCAGAAAAGACATACATGGATATCTATTTACCGTATTCTCTTGATATATCGAAATGCAACTAGAAAACATGTTAATTATAAATGATAAAGAACAGAGATGCAATTTAGTTTTCTACTTCTTGTCATTTGAGGTCAGTCAAATGTCAGGGAAGGCTATCAGCGGATGCATCTGTCATTCATTGGTACATTTCACAGTCATAGCCTGATTATACATCCTTAAGGAAAAAGTCAACTTCAAAAGAATACTTACATTGGTTGCTTGCCAGGAAGCGTTGTGAGAAGTGACTGCAGAATTTCGACTTTAGTCCTCAGTATGGTTACTTTTCTCCGGGCTGCTGATAGATGACGCTGCGTTTCAGGCCCAGAAGGGGGCAGACCACTCTTAGCAGAAATCATTCCCCTGACTTCTTCTGCTAGTTTTGATGCTTCGTTATATTGTCTAACCCATGGATCCGATGCCATTTTAGTTTAAAGATTATCCTTGAAAATTTTCAGCCCAATCAATCTTACTGGAGTCAGCATTATTAAAAGATAAACAACTGATGAATAGCAAATAATGGGGAGCGAAGACATATATGAATAAGAAATTTTCTTTATGTTTCACTTATCCTGACAACCAGATCTTCAATCTTAACCAGCGAAGAGTTGAAAAGAAAAATAATTCGAAGTTAACAAACTTGTAACTCACTTCTGCAAAGCAGAAAACTTAAATTAGATTACAAGTCGAAAAGTGAGTTTGCCTTCTGCTTGAAGAAGCAAATGAAATTCAGAATAACAATTCTGTGATGAGATGAGACATTTATAGAACAAAAGCTAGCAACAGCCAGCATACCAATTATTCGGATCTCCACTGTCCAAAAAAAGAAAGAAAGAAAGAAACCAGCAAAAGAACAAAAGAAAAATTGCCCGTGCACAGATCAGGGTTTATGATATTCTCGATTAGGGGGGAAGAGAAGTGGAGGATATGGAACTTCAGAGTCTCCTGCCAATAAATCTAAATATAGTAAACTTGACTAATCCATGAAGAACTCAAAAAGCAATCACTAATTCAGGATACTGATGCAACTATAAGAGCTGAATTTTTAAGTGTGTTGACACATCAGGGTAAAAAGCTCAACAGCTACGAAAAAGTCAAAGCACACGAGGGGTAAACCGGTAAAGCAAAATCAGAATGTAGGTATAGTGCAGAATTTTTCTTGAATATGAGTAGCAATAAACGTCACAGCCCCAGATAAAGGAAAATGTTGTCAAACGTAGATCACGAAATCAATTTTTCTGACCCCTGAAAGGCGATAGAAGATGGATAATGTAAATAATCTAAACATATTCTCATTCAGGAACACAAATATCCACTAAAGCATGTTTTAATGCTTTGCGTTCTGTGGAATGTCCTTTATGTTCCAATAAGAAATCATCCATGTCAGAGATGATATCTGATCACCACATGCTTTTATGATGGGAAGGAAATTCTTAGAGTTGGCCCTGATAATGGTAGCCAGCATACACCCCTGACTGGACAATCACTACTGAGTACTGACAGTAATAACCATAAATTCAAAACGAAACGAATCACAGACCAATGACACGTATAGAAGAAATATCTATATATTTTCTCTCTACCCCTCGATCTCCTTCCCCTCTCATTCAGTGATTGGAATTACTCCATCGATTATGAGAAAATGAGGACAATGTTTTAATAATTAGACACCGAATTCACCTGCAATCTAATTGCAGTTTCCAGTCTTCTAGCATTCTCAGCAGTTAAACATGCCAACGAAAAGAAACCGCATAAGCTAAGAATCATAAAGTGAGAGAGGAAATCGCATAAAATTGACATTGCAAGGCCCTACCTTTTTCTGCCAATTGAATCGGAACAACGAGGAAGATGAATAGGGAGGGGGGCGGGAAGAGCAAGGTTTTGTCGCTTCCGTATGAATGCTCATCAATGACTACAAACGGATCAAGTGCATGGCACTTTTCAATCAGGGATGAGCCAATATGCGTGTGTATATATATATATATATATAGCTTTCTTTATTATGAGCGGTTGTCCTCTACTATGACGAGTGCGGGATTAGGATTAGGAGTTGTGAGATGGTAAATGTTAATAACTAAATAAGATTATCTTGAGCCCAGAAAACAACAACAACAAAAAATAAATAAGATTTATCTTCATTTCTTGTAACCAGAAAATGTATTTTTTATCATAAAAGATGTTATATATCTCTCTGACTCTCTCTGATGATAAATAAATGACATTATTTATAATTTATAAGCATTAAAATTTATTATAAATTTATATTTTATATTATATATATTAATTGATACTGAAGATAAGATTAGTATTTTTTGGCACCAATTAAAAAAAACTAAATCATCAAATAATAAATATAAAATGGAGTATCAATTAAGGTTGAGAATTCAAATTCCCCTGAAGTGAATAAAAAAAATAAATTTCTGGCCAATGATACTGATAAGTTGACATATAATTGTTAATTTTTTTAAAAAATCATTTTTAATAATTTTTGTTGTTGGAATATACCAAGGATAGATACTACTTTTGATGAGCATAGCAAAATATCTGCAAAATAAATTGTACAAATTGATTATGATTTCGGTAGTTTAGCTTCTTATAAATCTATATGATTGTATCCTAATTATATGAATATTAATCACGCTGCAGGGTGTGATGAGTCCTAGTCTTAGAGGGTGTAAGGGGCCGAAGATAAGCCCAGTCCATCGTGAACTCATCGAGCAAACTGGGGGGGAAAAAGTGCCCGGAAAAGTCATCACATTCGATTACCTTTCTTCTTATGTCGTGCCGTGAAATTCCAGTGTTGAACTCCATTCCATGATTGCTATAAATGATCATTGGTTTAAGTGTCTTTCTTTCTCAACTGTCATAAATTGCTACTTCGCTTTTAAATTAAAAAAAAACGATCATATATTTCATTGTTTGTTATAAAAAAATAAACTTTAAGAAGCATTAATTATATTTTTTTCAAATTATCCCTCTTAAATAAATAGTATTATTTAATTAGAGAAAAAAATAGTAAATTATTAATTATAATAATATTTACAAACATTTTAATTTCAAACGTAATTATTGTAGTGAACTATTTTTTTTAAATCACGTGAATTTGTTGAAATTTTCCTACGTTTAACGGGGAGATTACATGGGATGTGATCATTAATTCTTGCATTCTCCAAAAGTATACGAGAGCTGATTTTGTTCACGGATCACCTTTTTGCGTGTTTCATCCCATCGAGATTTTATGGAGTTATTCCCAAGGTTCGTTTTTGCATGTTATGTCTTGGCAAACACAGCTGCTTGATTTTAACTGGGAAAGCATTTTCAGCGCTGGATAAACTAGATCTTGGTTATACCCTCTCCGGCTCTCTCTGTCAAATTAAACGATCATCTTAAAAGTATTTCGTTGTTTTAAAATATAATAAAAAATCAAATTTTATTAATAATATGTTTCAAATAATATCCTTTGAATTTACCTGCGTCAATTCAAGTTCCCAAATATTATGGATTCTATGAATAGCAAAATCTCCTCCTGAAAAACCAAGTCACTTTCTCAAACTTCTCAACTTACTTAAGTCAAGTCGGTTTTGTCCTCTTCTAATATTCACATCCTTCCTTGTTCACTACTTCCTAAAAAAACTTGTCATCTCATTAATGGTAGGCTTTTTGACTTCTTTTGGGAACTCCGTGATCGTAAAAAAAATATTCATCTCACTTAAAAAGGAAACTCTCTTCCACCGTATCAGGTCTAGAGTTTTGGGTATTTGGAATACCATGACTATGAACCTTGCCTTATTATCCAATTAAGTCTGGGTGTAATATCTCAAAAATTTAAATCAAATTAAGTAAAATAAAATAGAGTAATTGAGTTAATTAATGAGGTGTATGGTCAAATAGTTCTTATGAGTGATTTTGATTGTGGTTTCAACTCGAAATTGGGTCACCCACACATCAAAACGGGAGGAAATATGAACGAAAAAAAAAGAGCTTATATGTCATATGTCACAACATGTAGCACGTCCAATGCAGTGCACATAAAATGAAGAACCTCTCTTTGCCACGTTTCGCCATATAAGGTGCATGCACTGCAACGCACGGTCAAAAATTTGTAGAAATAAGTCTGCATCAATTTGCAAAATTAAAAGAAAAGGAAGGAGAAAACAAGGAGCATTCACTAAGCTCTACTAGAGTTCGAGTTTAAGGATCCTTAGGGATATTTTAGAGCTTTCTAACATTAAATGTAAGTCCATTATGCCCTTCATTTCCATCCTTTTATTTTCTCTATATTAGAGTTTGAGTTTGAGTTGGATTGATGATTTTCAATCCATAATGGCTATAATTTTAAACTTACTAACTTAAATAGAGTTAGTAAGAGTCGTTCAAGTTAGTTAAATTTAGCATTTATGGTTGCACAAGTTTTTGGTTAGCAAGTCACATAAATACCAGAAAATAACCATAAATGACATGGTTGAGGTGTTTAATGGTTATTAATAGTGATTTAATGGTTTATTATTACAATTTGCATTTATAATTGATTGATATGCAATTGTACAGGCTAGATTGACTTTAGTTACTGAATGGTTGTATTCACCCCTCATTCTTTAATATTACAAGGGACTAGCTCACTGGATCAGGATCGAAAAAAAATCTAAAGGCGTAGGATCTTATGTAAATCCTAATAGAAAGCCTCATAGTATATTAATTATGTATATTTTGTTGATAATTAGCCAACTAGGAATTCATTTTTTGCTACTTACACTATTTGTAAAATGATTTGAATGCGTATTTTGTGTTTTGTGTTGCATGCAATATAGTTATAAAGTTAAATAGGGCTAACATACTAGTACAAGTAAAGGAACATGTAAATGAATGAATATCATAAATATTATGTTGATTTATGAGAATTTAGATCCCCCTCATGTTTTTGTGACATAAAAAAGTGGAGAAAAATAAGTAGAAAGGCCTTTGTGCCATATGCCACGTTGCATGCATGATGGGCTGTGGCTATTTTCGGGCTAAGAGATAGGAGGCTATTTTCTCTGTGCCACATGACGTGGCGCGTGAGGAGAGGTGCCGTGGCTCACAGTACAAGTTCTATAGAAATAAGTCATGAATTAATGTGAAAAAAAAAGGAAAAGAAAGGGAAAATGGGGGAGCTTGTCTTTGCTATGCTAGGGCACTATTTTAGGGAGGATTGGAGAAGGTTTGAGGCTCCTAATCACCTAAGGTAAGGCTTCTCAACCCCTTTTCTCCATTCCTTTCCATTTTCTCAAATATTGAGTTAGGATTTGAATAGGAATGATGGTTTTCAGTCTAAATAGGTTATAGGTCTGAACCATTGACTCAGATAGAGATAATGGGAGTTGTTTAGATATTTAAATCTAGAAATAATAAGTTTTATATCTTTGATTGGTAAGATCATAAATATTTGAAAAATGATATTAATAAGGGTTGCTGCAAGAGTTGTAATGCCATTAATAGGAGGTTTAATAGCTCATTGATGATATTGGGAGTTAAAGATAGATAATAAATTTAATGGCTAGATCCAAACGTGAACAATATGGGCATTGAATGATTTAGTATAAACAGAAGTGTGAAAGTTGATAGGGTGCTCTTGACAATGTTGATGAATTTAAAACTAGTTAGTTATAGATTGAGCTCTTGGATACCATTGAGGCTTAGGAGATCAAGTTTGGAAGCTAGAATATTGAAAGGCAAACTTTTGACCTCTCAAAAATTTGAGATAACCAAGAAAATCTTACTTTAAGTAGTTATATATTAATTGCAATGCAATGTGAAATGTGTGGTTAGCATGTGAATTGTGACTTGTGAATATGTGTAACCTGCTATGAAACTTTGTATTTACATAATTGCTTTAAGATGAATTGTAAAGTTGCAAAAAAGACTTTAAAATGAATACAAAATGCAATGTGGTGTGAAGTTGAATAGTTGATGATGATTTTGATAAAGATAAATGTGTTGAGTTTGAAAGTAGTCAATTTATGTGATAGATGTAAAAATAAGTATTGATGCTCACTCGAGTAGCGCACGATCATAAGCCTAACGTGTTGATTTTGATAATGAATAAATGAGAATGTGAAAAATGATTAAGCATCTTACATGGCATGATCAATGGGAGGGAGTTTGCTTATGGATGAAAGTAGAGAAAATTCATATGATATTTCGGTTGCCCTCTGATGTAAGGGGATTAAACCTAGTTATTTTCACTAGTTTAGTATGAGGAGGTTAGCCTCAGGTGTATAATGGCCCAGAGATTTAAGAACAGGGGAAATTATGGTCTGAGAGTGAGTTAGGTGATTTTTAACCAGGTCACATCTCATAATTAGTGAGCTTAGGTAATGCAGTTACATGAACGAAGCTTTGTTTGGTGTTATAGTCCACAATTTCAATCAAAGGAAATAAGAATGGTTGATCATTGCCTATGTGATTATATGACGTGTCACATGATCAAGATATGGCAAGTTGTATTGATATCGAGTCATGGTGACTCATTTGAATGTCTTGTGGCTATGTACCATATGACTTCACGGAAGTGAATTGATTAAGACAAAATGTGTTGTGATTCCTGTAAAACTACATATTAAGGCATTTTTT